AGGAGGATCACTACGAGCATTTAATGATTTACTGATTATATCACTTGTGGTTGAAAATGTATTTAATGTTTCAGTTGGAGTCTGATCTATGTAGTGAGACCCTGTAGATGCTATACTAAAATACATTTTTAAAAATTTTATTACAGTAAAAATACATTGTAATTAAATACCTTCAACATGTCCCCTTTCTGGCTAGCACACACATCATTCTTGCCACTTGCTGAAGCAACTCTAGAGGTCTTTGGTAAATGTCGTTAGTTGCACTGGTGTGGTTCCCTCAGTATCTTAAACTAATTCAAACGATTTATCTTTCATAGCCATTTTGATTTTGGAGAAGATCTACAAGTTTCACAGTTCCAGATTCTTTGAATAAAGTGAATGAGAACCCACTGCGATGTTATTGTGAGCCTTTCTTTCCACTGGATAGCAGTGGGGAGCAGAATTTACTGTATTTTTATCACACTTCATAAAAACACAAAAGAAGACTTTCAGAACTGCTTCAGAAAGATGGATATGTGTGTTTGAAACCAGGGGAGGTATGTTGAGGGGGATTAATAGCTATGTGTATTTTACTTCAATAAAAATTTTAAATTCAAATGTTTGCTCTTTATTTTGATCACATCTATCTTTTTATAGGGAGATAAGTAAGAGACAGACAGAGTCATACAGTATATGCATAGGTAATACTGGGCATTTATTTGATCTGTAATAATTTTTTTCATGAAAATTCCTTATGGTGCACAAGTTTTAAATTTTAAATTTTAAAATGCATCTCTAAATGATTTTTAAGTATGCTCATCTCACTTCTGTAAATTTTCTAAGAAATCCTTTAAGCAATTTAAAGATTTAGAAAAAAGTTTCTGTCAGTGTTATTTATAATAGGAAGAAATTAAAAATAAATATCCAAAAATATGGAAATACTTAAGGAATAAAATATGACCTTTTAAAAGGATAGCATCAAAAGACTGAAATCTAAAAAACATTGGAATGAGATTTGTTCCTATCAGTTGCTCAGCTGACATTTACATGTCACTTATTCCCTATTGCCCCACTAACATGAATGGGTTCAAGGGCAAGCACCTCGTGTGTCTTCCACGCTATTATGCATCATCCAACATGTACTAGATGGTAGGTAAAATGTGTTGAATGAATTGACAAATTCAAGTATGAATCCTACGTGCACTTCAATTATGAATTCTAGAACATTTCAAATTATGTAAAATTCTTAAAAATTAAATTACTTTATAAGTAAAACATATGACACCGTGTGAAAAGGTAAATAATCTATATTAGTGGTTAAGAAATTGTAGACAGAGCTGGGGAGATAGCTCAGTGGTCTGAGCATCTGCCTGGCAAGCGTAGAGACCTGGGTTTGATTCCTGGCAGTGTGTGCGGTGCAGGCCTCTGAACCCCGTGTATGCAGTGCTGACCACAAAACCAGGCGTAGTGGTGCACCCTTGTAATCCTAGCACTGGAGAGGCTGAAAACAGAAGAAACACAACTAGTCTGAGCTGCATAGTGGGACCCTGTACCAAATAAATAAATAAATAAAATGATTTAAAAAGAAGAAACTGTAGGGAAAATAGTCTCATTAAAAACTTAAGATCTAAATATAGTTTAGTAGAATGTAGGATTTGAAGGAAATTTAAAGATAACTTTGTGTTCTTCATTGAAAAATCACAATATATCAACATCACTCAAGATTCAGGAACCTGGTTTCTGTTCTCTCAGGATCCAGTCCATCACCCAGATACACACACATGCACATACACACACACACTGAACATGGACATCTCCTAGTGTTGAGGGGTCCATTCAAATGAACTCAGTGTCAGTTCAGTACCCATGGTCTGCAGGTTCAGATAGCACTAGAACAGCAGGACCTTCTGTATCTTGGAGTCACAGGCAATTTCAATATCTTTGAGCATTCCCAGAGCTTAATACAGAACTCAGACACTGAGCAAGATTCTATTTGACACAAAACATGTACTTATGGAAACACTTTGAATAGAGAAGCTATGGAGTCCTTAAATTTTTATCATAGGAAGAGACTCATTCTTCCAGCTGTTTTGGGGCCAACAATGACTCAAATGCCTCCGCATTCTGTTTCAAAGTCATAGTTTCTCATTGCCATTTCCCCACCTTTTTTGCTTTTGTATGGGTGTCATCTTCAACAGCTTTCCTGTTTGTACCTTTGATAATATTTTTATTTATGGAACTGTATTGTTCTTATTTATTTGTAAGCAAACTTTTTATATGTTGAAATGTAGGTATCAGTAAGACAACTCTGCCACTTAATATTTGGGTCACATTGAATTTTATTTCATTTCTTGGATTTTGGAATATCCTGTAACTTCCCCAGAATTTGTGAAAATCACCTTTCTCAAGAGTAGTGAAGGGGCCCAGGAGATGGCTCAGGGGAATAAGTGTTTCCTTGGCAAACACAACAGCCTGAGTTCAATCCCTGGTTCAAAAAAAAAATGAGTAGTGAAAATTCTGCAGAAGTTTTTTTTTGTTAAACCCACCTATTATAGAAGAAGTGGTATCATCCCACTGGAAGCAGTGTAAGGTTGCATATGTACATACTATACCATGTAATACAATAATACACTATAGCATGAAAAGCCATATAAATAAGCTAGACTTTTCCCTTAATATTTCCCAAACCCCAAAAATACACACAACATCGTGTATGTTTCAGGCTTAGTGAAGGTCTGGATAATTTTTGTATTTTCTTAGCAATAGCTCTAATAAATAAAACTTGAATGTCCACATTCTTATTCAAGCAATAGCTTCTCAGTCTCCACTGGGAGTGAGAAAAAAGCCAAAGATAGGGAGGAAGAGTCTACTTTGTTATAGTTACCTAGTCGGATTACTTTTCCTTTTCACCTGCCAGAAATCTCACATACAGTTTTCCAACAATTGGTTTTTTTTCTTTCTTTTATATAGGATATTTTGTAGCATATTTTAATATATTCTAATTTATCAATATTTCCCTTTCAAGTTTCTGCTTCTCATATTGTGTTTAGAAATGCCTCCTCATCCATGTATATTCATGTACATCTTCTTCTAATATTTTTATTTAAATTGTTAAACATTTCCCCCAAAAGATCAAGATTTGTTTTTGGAGTATAAAGAAAGATGACAATTTAAATTTTCTCTTTCTGCCTCTGGGAGTCAAATTCAGGAGTCCTCTACCACTACATTCCTAGCCCTTCTTATTTTTTATTTTCACACAGGGTCCCATGAAATTGCCCGGTCTGGCCTTGAACTTCCATCCTGCTGTCTCAGCCTCCAAAGTAGTAGAGATTATAGGTATGTGCCACTATGCCTGGTTGAATTTAACTTTTTCCCCATGTAGTTAACTAATTAAGATCATTAGTTATATACAAAGTTGTAAAAATAAGATAACAGTGTAGAACATAATAGAATGGTAAGAGAATATAATGTGAGCCAAATATGTAATTTAAAATTGCATAGGGTTCACACTAAAAAGATACAAACACTTAAAGTTAATTTGAATAATGTATGCTACTTAACCCAACATACCGACATCAAAAGTTATTAATAAAATACTTCACATTCTTTTGTATTGAATCTTTGAAGAATATTGTGTGTATTTTATGCATGTAGCACATCTTAATTCAGCCTATCTACAACTGCGGTGCTCAGTGGCCCCATGTCAGCATAGGCTTGGAGCAGTGTTTCTCAACCTTAGCAATGCTGACATTTTGGAGCTGACAATTCTTTATCATGGACTGCCCAAGCATCATAGCATGATTAACTACAATCCTGGGCTCTACCCACTACATATCAGTAGCACTTTTTGGTTGTTATAAGCAAAAGCATCTCCAGACACTGCTAGATATTGGGGGTGGAGGGTAACCTGGGCCACAGTTGAAAACCAAACACCTAGATAATTTTTTTAAATAACATGTTTAGTGTGAATCTTATGATTATCTGAGAGAAAATTTCCATTTTAGAAGCTAATAGGTATTGAGATAGTCACTGACTCAGGACAGTAGTACTTACCAACAATGAAAAGTCTGTTGAATGCCTATATTCTGAAATCGGAAAAAAAAAAAGAGAGGAAGAAGGTGACAGAAGGGCAAAAAGGGAAGGAGATAGGAAGAAGAAGAGAAAGAAGAAAATGGTTTATGCATCTTTGTGCTTGCTTTGGGTCTCTATCTACATGAAAAAAAAAATACTGACCCAGAATTGAACCCACCATGATGGCATCAACATGTCATTGTTTCAAAATCCCTGAGTGCTTTGACTTTGAAAAAAAGCCAGTACTTGGGTTGCAACATGCATCAAGAAGTACCTGTAAGTCCTGGGAGTTGGGGGCAGCAAATGTCTACCCACCTCAGAACTATTTCACTTTGGAGAACAGCATCTGGCATCAGAAGTCAGAAGTCATAGAACCCAACCACTTGGTGAGCTGGTCTCTTCTACAATCTTTGTCTACCAAGACTGAAGGAATCCAACCACTGTCATCCTGATCTAAGCAGACACCACTTTAATCCTTTTCCCTGCTCTGGTTTTACACCTCCTGCAGATGTATCATCATGCATCCACAAGGCTCAGTAGGCACAGCTACACCTCATAATTCCCAATCATTGTCTAACCCTGCTCTTGACAAACAACAGTCAACTCTGTGTACATCCTTAAGCCTGGTTTCAGGTAAATAACCACGATTTCTTTGTACTGAACTCTCCCAACCAAAAATCCCTTTGTGACTTTTCCCTTCCACAGTGCCCCCTTTTTGTGCTCATGGCCCTCTAAATATCTTGTAGCCTGTGCAAGTTTCTGGTCTGGTCTCTAATGCCAGTGGTTCCTCTTGGGTTTGTTCTGACATCAACCTGTTCTGTTGAGGTAGTTCATGCTCCTGCTTCTTTTTGTTTTTATCCTAACAAAGACTCCAGTAATTGGAAGTCCCAATTAACTGTGATGTTTTAAAAGTATTTAAGCTTTTTAAGTATTAACAAATGACAAAGAAATCAAAATTGCAGCAGAGATTTATTCAAGGAAGAAACAAAAGAAAGAAGAAATAGGGTAAAATAGAGGAACTAAATTAAGAACACATCTTGGAATACTTAACATGCCTTATAATCTTACCTACATGAAATTACATATGCCTATACAGTATTCAGAATATTGACCGATAGGTATTAGAGGATCAGAAAATAGCCTACCATTTTCACTCTACTTCACAGTTTTTCTAACTTTACTAACAAAAAAAGCTAAAAAATAAAAGGTTTCTGTTGCCTCTTGAGGAATGAGAACATGAAACTACCAGTTTGCATTCCCCAAATGTTCTGGCTTATCAGCACTTTGCTTGAATTGCTGAATTCTTTTGACAATACCAAGAGTCCGGTTGTTAGGTGTCTATACTAAGAACCCTGGGTACAAGGGATAATAATCTACTTATTTCCAAGTATCTTTTCATGGACCACTGGGACTACCGGTACAGGAGGAATCTTTCCAGGGGCTCTGGCAGACAGAGTTTGTGGACATCTTGATGACATGCTCGACCCAAGCACTTCCGGACACACAGGCGGCAGAGCTGGGAAAGAGCAGGTGGGCCTGAGGGGCAGAATAAAATTGATGAGAATCTTATGGTAGGTGAGTGGCAAGGACAGAACGCGAAACTGGAGGAGGCTAAAACTTTCTAAGAGCAGAAGAAAAACTGTATCTGATGGGAATTATAGAATGAGCTAGCAAACACTAAAAACAGACAGGAAAATCCTGATTTGTCCTTCTGGAGGGGACATTTTTCTTTAAGTTACTACTTTAATGGGGTTTGCATTACTGACATCGAAAGCTGAAGATACCTAGAGGCAAGTAAGGCAACTCATTTATTTACTGCCCTCCTCATGAAAGTGGTATGCTGGCCTAAGGAGAAAATGCAAAGGAAAGTACTGTACTGACCATGCAGGACCTCCCCCCCCCAACACACACACACAGAGCTACAAACAAAAGCACAATTGCAGAGAGGTAGTCCACAGGAGGTTTGACTTGTGCTGTCACAGAGGCAGTGTGAGAAGATGAGCCCTCAATGTCTCCCTAGCACTCCTAGCACTAGCTGAACATGAGGGGCTGCTGGTGGGGTCCCACCTGACATCCCGAGGGGCCTTCCATTCTTGCAAGGATTTCAGCTCAATAAACATGTGCATCCCCTCCTTACCTTCCCGGAGCAGGAGGGCCTGCTCCACACTACTTTTGGGAGCTGCCAAGTCAAGTGCACTTTTGCCCTGCGCATTTCTGAGTTTCAGATTAGCCCCATAGTCGGTCAGCAGGTGGATGATTTCTGCACTGGCCTGTCTTGCTGCAGCATGGAGGGGGGTGTCCATCCATTGTCCATTGTCAACACTGGCTCCTTAACAGAGCAGATGTGAGTGTAAAGCACAATGAGCCGAAAATAGAGTTCTTGTATACAAAGACATCTCAAGTGACATGACATGTTTGACAAAGCTCTGAAAATACGTGACTTAAGTCTACAACCTCAGAAATGTCTGTTAAGATCATTTCAAAACATTTTGGTGGGAAAACTGATAGAGATGTTTATAGTCATTTTAAATAGTTGCCTTGCTTTCCCATACAAAATGTGTGACATACACAGTAAACTATTCACGGCTCTTGTTACAGAGAGTTATTCTGTTTTGTGGCAAAGACAAAGCATATATATATATATATATAATTTTAGGCTTGAAATTATCTTTTAATTCACTGAAGGGAATAATAAATGATGGAAATAAGAAACAATAAAAACTTCTTAGAAATAAAAATTCTCAGTTAAATGTTCTTAATACAACCTCCACCTTCATGACAATGGCTAAGTATATTAAATCTTTAACCAATTGATGACTCCAAAATATTTTACTTCTCTCTGAAAGCTCAATCTTTTGGGATTAAAAAATAACTAAGTAATATAGTAGGGTTGACATAAAATAGTCTTGGCAAATGTCTATTGCTTTTTCTTTTTTCTTTTTTCCTGTCCAACATCTTCCTGGAAACCACAAGTAGATTTCCCTCTAGGGAGATACCATACCTTCTTGCGATTCCCAGTTCATGTGTTTCTAAGGAAACCAAATGATCTCAGAATAAACTGTAATGTAGGCCTAAGCCAATGAGTGTAATCCATTCTTTGGCAGACAGAATTGGTTATGAGATGGGTTTGTGATCCAAAGAGTCAATACTCCTTGATGTGTGCCAATGAAGAAGATAATGGGCCCAGGTGTTTCTGGAAGCCATCTTGGGACCACCAGGGAGAACCATATCAGGTAAAAGGAGCCAACATCAAGGAAAGCAGAACTGAGAAATATAGACACTCACTTCTCTAGAGAAATTCTGTTTTCAGCATTTAAACATCAAATGCCATCAGAATTTTTTCTAGTCTAAGAACTTCAACTTGGAAGACATTAAAAAAAGTTTAACAGAGTCTTCTCATAAGATTTCTGATAATTACCTAGTTCCAGAAGTTTCTTCACACAATCTAACCTCTGGTATGTGCAGGCCACATACAGGGGAGTTCCAAGCTGAGGCACCTCGTGGTCAATGTTAACATTGTTTGCTAGCAGAATCTCCATGCACTCTCTGTGACCTGGTGGGACATAAGATAACCTCATTCAAGTAAGAGACACATTGAATACTCATAGTATTATATGACTGTTTATTTGGAATGGGCTTTACAAATATTCTAGATCTCTCTGCAATAGGAAAAAAATATTTTTGAAATGATAGAAATTCCTTAAATAGAACACTAAAAATAAAAGTATGCTCATGCTTTCTTCATCCAAATCTCTCTGTTCAATCCCTGAGGTGACTCCAACTGAACAAAAGCTCCAAGGAGCACAGCTGAAATCATTCCTTAGAATGAAGCCACTGTTTCACAAAAGGAGCTGCAAGGTCCAGAGGCATAAAGGACTCTTCCTATTATTGCTCTGAAAAGCCTGTGCTCAAACCCAAGGCTCAGCCCTATTCTCTCTCTGTTACAAGTGCTCATTCTGTTCTTCACCTATGTAGGTTACATTGGCTGGAGGACTTGGACCCTTATTGTCTTTAGCCAAGAAGACACTTGTGAGAAGGAACTAAAAAGTTATCAAATATAGAATATACTTAAATACACTTGCAAATTAAGTGACTAACAAGAACTATATAAACAAGCATTCTCCTTGGAGTTTGCCCAGTGAATGACAGACATGAATGCTTTGTATCATATGAATGATTTGTTCAGGAAAGAATGCTCCTGAGGCATTGACGGAAGCATATAAAGAATTGGTTCTCTTTGAAAATTTCAGTGTTTCCTTTTGAAAAGTCTTATCATTGATAATTAAACTAAGCAACTTTTTCTTTATAAGTGACTTACAGGAAAGATTCATCCTATACCTATGGGATTCATCACAAATTCTGAGTTAAGCATGAATGTGCATTATAGTGTAAGAACCAGAACAATATGTAGTTGTATGTCCAAATACATAAATATACCAAGACCATCGTGTCAGTATGTCAAAATACTGATGCAGACAAAGCTTGCTTGATAATATAGGTATAAATCTATATAATAAGCCAGAAATAATATCTAATTACTACTTAAAAGTTATCTAGTAAACATTTGTGAATAATCCTTGTCTCTCTTTTAATAAAATCAGAAACTAAGCTTAGTTTGAGAGAAATGTAGTCTTATGAAGTTTTAAAATGAATACATAAAACTGAAATGACTAAAGCTAATATAACAGTATCTAAAATAATGAATTTATGCATTATTCTTCCATCTATGAATATTAATCTTTCACAAGATTTTATAACAGAAAAATGGCGTAGAGCTGTATAAACTGTGCTTATGAGATGTGTAAATGTTTCATAGGCACACAGATAACAAACATTCAATATATAATCAGTCAAGCAAAGGAGGAATTACTTAAGAAATTGAATCCAATCCCAATATATATCCATCTTGAAATGAGACGGAAATGCAAACAATAATTTTCTTCAAATCAGCATTAAAATTTTAAAGAGACTTAATAGTTCCGAAGTACTCCTTTACTCTACTTAAAGGGTTTGCTTGATGTTTGGGGAATGGCTTATATTTATTACTACTCAATAAATATTTATTAAATATATTGAGATTTGGGTAATTTGCATCATTTAAAATAACACACCAGGGAGAAGACTTAGCAGTTGACATGAATAATAATCTAAGACATAGAGCCGGGGAGATGGCTCAGTGGAATAAGTGCTTCCCTGGCAAGCGCAAGGACCTGAGTTCAATCCCCGGTTCCACCAAAAAAAAAATAATAATAATAATCTAAGATATATCTTTCACTACTGCCTTTTGAAATACTTTTATTCCTAGTTACAACAAGAAAGGTCACTATTCCAGAATATTCTAATTTCTCTAGCATATTCCTGACTTTGATATAAGATAATAACTTCACTAGTGGGTGTCAATGAAATGTTGCTCTCTGGAAGTGACTTCGATAAAAGGCCTTATGGTTTCAATGGCATCTACTGTTTCATGTCTAGTCTATGCATATAGTTTTAAAATTCTTTAAAATTACTTTTTCTTCATATCAAAGGTAACTCATGAGAGTATAAAGTCAGCATCAAGACTTGGAATGCCTTTTAAAGTTGGGACTTTTTTCATAACTGTGACCTCTAAGTCTCTAGATTGCATTATTTATGGACAGTTACATGAACTAGTCCATTAGAGATAGTATCATCCTTGGCTTTCAAGGCAATTTCATAATTTATTTTATGGTTGTGGTTGTGTTTTATGGACTTTAAAGGATGTAGTGTTCTTTTCTACTAAGAACAGAGTCATAAGCTCAGTACAATTCACGAGGTCACAGCTACTGTCTTGGCTGCATCAGCTGCTACCAAAATACTAGCAAAGAGGCTGAAGGAAAAAAGGTCTGCTGAGAGATTGTCCTCAAAAAATGAGACTTCTGAGATATGAAAACATTCCTGGGAAATTAAAAGAGCTGTTTCATGTCAAAGTGATGTTTTGGGAAGATTTCAGAAAATTAAAGTTATTACCATGAGACTTCTAAACTACACATAGCCTCATGATGAAACGATCAAGGGTGGCCAGCACTGGACCATTGATTTATGCACATTGAATTGAGCCTATCGCTACTTTGTGTGCATTGTGGTGGCTTATTTACCTCTTTTCACTGCCTCGTGGATAGGTGAAGCCAGGTGTACCTCAAGCTGGGCCTTGGCTCCAAATTCCAGCAGCACATTGACACAGGCAGCACTGCCACTACAGCAAGCATTGAAGAGGGGTGTGGCTCCATGAACTGTCACTCCATTGACCTGCCAATGAGCAAAGAAAGATCCAGAGGATTTGCTATTTCTTCTGCACCCTCTTCAACTGTCCACTCCTATGTATATGTCTGGGGAAATTCCCCATGAAGATAAATAAGTGAGGGAACTCCACATCTTTACAGTATTATGAAAGCTCATGAAGTTTTTTGTACTAGCCAACCAAGTTACTATGTGTTAAACATTTAGAACATTGCCTGGTGTACATTAAGCACTGAATTAACATTTGCACCAACAATTATTTCCATTAATAACGAGCTCATTCTTTTTGTAGTAGTGACCAAACATGTCCAAAACCAACCATCACTAGAGCAATAAACTAGCTTAAGGTTCCAAGTGTTATATTCTCAAAAATATCCTTGGAAAACCCCCACATTTCTACTGTCTTTCTTGCCACAAATTTTCTCTTTGATTTATATAACTGATATAAATTGAATATATTAGCATCAACATGGTACTTCCAACCATCTTCAGGACCTTCTAGGGATGTGGGAGGCACATAGTGACCAAACATGTCCAAAACCAACCATCACTAGAGCAATAAGCTAGCTGAGAAAGGCTGAGAAACATCATTGAATATCAACAATCTAAAGGGAAGGACATCAGGAGATCCCAGCACTCTGGTGGGAAGACTGTCATGTGAGGCAAATGTCATATCACAATGATGGTGTGATATCAGACCATTTTACCTCAGCGACTAACAACAGATGTTTGTGAAAATCAGGACTCGAAATTATTTTGCTTTAGAGTCAAACATTATTTGTCTCCATATTTCCAGTGAAACACACATGAAAATGGAAAGTTAAAGATGAACTGCTAAGTTGGCTGACATAGAAAAGGATAGGTAGAAACATGCAGAAATTTATTTGCTAGGGATGTCCAGCTTTATGTGTTTACTAAAAAACATTCGGTGGAACTGGTTTGATTTTTTTTTTTTTTCGGAACCGGCGATTGAACTCAGGCCCTTGCGCTTGCCAGGGAAGCGCTTACTCCACTGAGCCATCTTCCCTGCCCTGGTTTGATTTTTTTTCCAAGTACCATTTTCATCGTTACACTGGGAAGTCTTATTATTTGATTTCCTATAATTTTCTATCTTAGCTTTTGCTACCAAGTATTTATTGAGCACTACTAGATGCTAATGTTTTGGAAACAAAGATGAATAAGACAATTGCCTCTTCTTAAGTAGTCTGAATTTTATTTGGCAGGACAACACGAAAATGATAATTTTGATACAATAATAAGTGCTTTAATTCACTAGGGGTACAAGACAAAGGATAGCATAGACTTGAGAAATAGGAAATAAAGTCAATAGGATTTTGTGATCAATTATATAAAAAATGATAAGTACAGCATTTCTCCCTCCCTTGGGAGAGAAGAATATTTTTCCCAGTCTCTAAAACTAGCAGTCCAAGATAAGAAGCAAGTCCCAGTTTGAGATGCACGCAATTTAAATTTTCCATGGAACTGACGAGTACGGTGAATTTTCTATGGGCTGACCCACTTTATCTTGTTTTTTCTCATTTTGAGTTACATGTTAAGTGGTCTAACACTGTATGGAATTTACTGGCTCTTCCCTTATAAAACTTCCAAACACAAGAGACTATTGTCTTATTCTTTTTTGTCCTCCACTAAAACTCCTCTGTGACGTGAGAGAAATGCTTACCATTTCCCACCAGCAATCTGCTCGTGATTCCAATCATCCAGCTTGTGAGGAAATGGCCCTCACACAGCCTCACCCTCATTGTTACCCAGGAGCTAAGTGGCAACTTAAAGCAGTTCCACCTAGAGGAAATGCACAGCCACAATGGCATTGGAAAAACCAGTTTGTGACAGGAAGACTTTTATATTCAGTTCTCCACGTACAAACCCAACTTCCACGTATAATGTAAAAAACATCATCATTACCCACCCAAAGAACTTGCAGCTTGTAAAACAAAACACGCAAGGACTAGATCAAACACCGGCATTAACAATAATCCATCATCTGGCAACAAAGTATGGATGTCACTGAAGCTTTTACAAGCTTTTATTTTTGTAGGCCTATTCCAATATGTGTGTTGTACGTGACTGGTCCATCATTCTTTGCAAAAGTTAGGATATAAGCTAAAAATAAGATGAAGCTCAATGCAATGTGTTGCTTTTCAATGTGTTATTTTCAAAAATCCACTAATTTGGCAATTTCGTTCACTAAAAATAATGGTTGGCTCACAATTAAATTAAGAGTTTTCCAATTGTGTTAAAATTGTTCTTTTTTTTTTTTTGTAGAACCAGAGATTGAACTCAGACCCTTGTGCTTGCCAGGGAAACGCTCATTCTACTGAGCCATCTCCCCAGCCTAAAATTATTCTTACAATGTTTTGCAACAAATATGTTTTTCAAGTCAGCATCACAATTTTGAAAAAGAATTATGAATTATGACATCTGAATGCTCACACATAGGAGTCTAAGATGAAGAGACAGGAGTAACTTGAACAATGGAATATGAAATATGGACATGGTTGGGACCAGGTATGGTCCCATTAGCAGGTGCTCCTGGGTAAACAGACCCAAGTGGCAGGGTTGGTACTCACATGTGCACCGTTTTCTAGTAAGACTTTAGCGCAGGCCACATGACCTCCAAGGCATGCTTCATGAAGAGAAGAGACTCGGTTAATTGTGACAAGGTTCACATTGACACCCTATAATTGGGAGAAAAGATAGTTAAATGCTGCCATGACCACAGCAACCAAAGCAAAATTGTCCAATAGGTTTCCAGAGTTTTCACTGCCTATGGGTCTGAAGAGTAGAGGCCATGACCTGGAAAATCTAAACAAAGCACACAAACCTTAAATGCATTCAGTCAGCCAACATTTATTCAGCAATCTGGATAAGATAATGCAGGACCTGAGTCTTTGAAATTTATGACGAGTCTCTCTTCCCTAAGAACCTACTGGAAAGAGAGCAAGAATAATGTTATATTGGAAGCAAGCTCTAATTTTCATGGGTAGCATGGATTTCTGTGAGCTGGCTTGAGGAGTAAGAAAACGCTTCCTAAATGGGATAGTATTTAGCTAAGACTTGAAGGAATAAACTTTCAAGCCCCGAGACAAAAAGTAATCCATTGCGAGGGAACAGAACAAACAAAGGCGGGATGTGTGGCAGGGCCATGCAGATAGTTGGCTATTTCCGGATTAGAAATAACCTACAGAACAGAGAAGCTGGAAGGAAATGGAAGGTGTGCAAAGATGACAAGCTGGGTGAAAGCAGCACTGCTTCGCTCACAACTCTACTGTGTAAAGAGGGGTCTAAGTTCTCCACGCCTGGGGCCAGAGAGATTCTCCCAACCCTCATCTCCTTACCCAGGTGTGTTACCACCATATCTACCATTCCCCCTTCACATACTCCCATGCTACACCTTCCTCATCCTGGAGTCCATATGGCACGTGACAATGCCGGCCTAGTGGCTGGGAAACTCTGACTTCATGTATTGATTCCAACAACTTGGCTCTTACAACTTTCCCTATGATCGCCACTTTCCATCTGCAAAAAGAATTGGGTTCCTGATCTGTCTGCTGTGCTAAGCCCTGCTTTTGATTCCCTGCCTTGTAACTGACCTACAGAAGCTTCAAAAACCTAGTGCCTTGTGTCTTCCAAAACCCTGAACCTCAGACTCCAATCTAGTACCTACCACGCCTGCAAGAGCTCCATAATGCCAGCTGCATCCCTGCATGGCCAGCAGCTGGGATTTCCCTCTGTTGTCTGTCCCCTTGTCATAGGCCCTCTCTGCGCCTTCAGGATCCTACTCACTTTCACATCCTAAATATGATGTTGTTATTCTAGAGCTGTGTTACATTTTTCAAATTGGACATCTAATACAGTTAAAGAAATCTTTTCCTTTTCCTTTACCCAAATACAATTTCCTTTCAAGAAACTAAGATTTTGAAACTGGCTAACCCACAAGGTGGCAGCATTGTGCTACAAAAATAAATAAATAAATAAAATTTTAAAAATTGCAGAATCCCAGAAATTGTAGGAATTGCTGCTGGATAGGCTGAAAAAACATCCAGAGTGAATCGTGCTTATTGTACACGTGAAGATGGAGAACCCGAAAGTTCAAATTATATGTAAAGTTTGAGGCCCTCCAGCTATTGGTGACAGCCAGTGTAACCAAGGAGAACCTGAATCTTGGTTTAATCTTTTCTCACAGTGGTTTCATATTGTACTCGCGTTTACCACATTACCTAAAGGAGAACTCAAGTTTTAAGAAGTAGTAGTTTTTGACTAGCATGAAAAGTACAGAAGTGGGAATGTAGCAAGAAAAACGTAGACTTTTCTATGAAATATCCCTATACATCCAATCAATCATACTATTGAAGTTAGCATGCTTACAAATGGAACTAAATATGTCAAAGTCCTACATACAGTGTGAGATCCTGGATGAGATCCTGTGACAGGAAAAGGACAGGAGTGTGATGACTGGTGAGATGCCAGGTTAGTGAATTATATCATACCAGTCTTGACTTTTATTTTTCACTAATGTACTATGGCCATAGGTAAGATGCCATTAGAGGAAGTAGGTATAAGGTACTCCCTCCTAGTTTTGTATTTCTTCTTGAAAAATATTGTGAGAAAAAGTTTATTTAAAATACTAATAAAAAGGGCCAGGAGATGGCTCAGTGTTATAACCGCTTCCCTGGCAAGTGCAAGGGCCTGAGTTCAATCCCCGGTTCTGCAATAATAATAATAATAATAAAAGCATTGAAATAGAAGGCTGAGAGGGAAATGTTTGATGCAAGATTTTTCAGTGTACCTCTTCATTTTAATTTATTGAATTATGTGAATATTATATGCTAAAAATAACAAAATCTTAATTAAAATCCTTAAAAATGCATAAACAAGTGATAAAATCAGGCGCCAAGCCTATTATTGCTGACAGTTTTGTTTTCATTTTGCCTCTACTTACTTTCCTAAGAAATAACACAATTCAGAAAGGAGAAAGAGGGCCGGGGGGATAGCTCAGTAGAATAAGTGCCTGCACAAAAAGAGCAATGCAATCTGGGCATGATGGAGCATGCCTGTAATTACAGCACTCTGGGAGATGGAGGCAAGAGTGTCACAAGTTCAAACCCAGCCTGGGAAAATACTGACTTAGTGTGACCTTGTCTCAAAATAAAAATGTCCTGGTGATTGATGTAGCTCGGCGTGAAGGTCCTGGGTACAACTCCTGGTACTCCAAAAAAAAATGCAGCTGTTTAAATGAAACATGTTGAAAGATGATATGTGGAAAAGGGATATAATGACTGACCTCTTCTGTATACATGTAGACTTCAAAACAAACGAAGCAAGTGAAGTACTTTCTTCCTTTCACAATTTTTTCAAGGCTATTACTCATTATTCAAGGAGATTCCAAATGTAGTTGCTAATAACTAAGAGGTTAGTGAATCTTCCTAAAGGAGTGAGATTGATCCATTTTGTCAAATTCTTTTGAAGCTTGCTCTTCAAATAGTGTACCATTTGGAGTAGGCAGCTTCACACACAATGCCCACTCTTCCCCAATTCCTAACAGTGTCCCATGTGTGCCGTATCTTCCCCTTGAGTGTGGGTTGGACGTACTGACTCACATGTAATGAGTGGAATATGACAGATGAAACAGGATGATACTTCAGAAATTAGGTTATTAAAAGAAAAAACCTGTGGCTTCCTTCTTAACACTTTCTCTAGAGAAAACCAGCTGCCATCACATAACATGTAGAGAATCCTATGTGACAAACAATTAAGACTTGCTAACAAGCACACAGGTAAGTATGAAAGCAGATCCTCCCCCAGCTAAGCCATGAAATAGCTACATGGCTGGTTAATACTTTGCATACTGGGAGCTCCCTGACCTACAGAAACCTCAAGAATCTATGTGTTTCTTGCTTTGAGCCGCTATACTTTGTTGCACAGCAACAGTGGACAGATGCAACTTCAGGATTGTTGCCACTAACGTACATGGAGAGAACTAAGGTGAATTAGTACAACATACATTTGCAGGTATCTTTTCTGGCCCCTCACAAGCAATTGACCAATTGTAACCAGCATTGTAAAATTAAACTTCTAAGTTAGTGAGCTATTTTCCTTTGAGATTGACAACTTCCCAAGTTTTTTTTTCCTGCTGAGCACATAGCAGCACTCCCTCTTTAGCCCAAAAGAAGTGACAGAGTATCCAGATGGTCAGCCCCCAGAGGCCAGAAAGAGGAGGATGAGCTGCAGATGGCTGGAAGTGACAAAGCCATTGTGGCGATCTGCATTGTCTCTCTGTACTCTACTATAAAAGACCCTTTATAGTAGCAGCGAAATGGTAATTTGTAGCAAATGTGCCCCTCCATCTCCTAGGCAGTAGCTTTGAATAAATCCTTTTTCTTTTTTATCCAAATATATGCCCTCATTTGATATGGTCAGCAGCTGCACAGACGAGCCTCAGTGTATGAGGAGAAGGGGCAGATAATACATAAAGTAAAGGAAGCCCAGAAGAGAAAAGAGGGAACTGGGCAGAATATGAGGCAGTTCTTTAGGAAATAATATACGAGACAAGCAAACAGTAAGGTGTATGAAGATATATATGCCTGGAAGGGCAGTGCTGGGACCCAGATATGGTAAGCAAGATCTCTGCTACAGCCAAAGCTGAAGAAGAATGATGCTTAGTTTTAGCATAAGCTCACAGGAGCAAGTCTTTTGTTTACTTACTTGTGAAATTAAAGTTTTAAGGGCCAGTAAGCGCCCCTGGGCCGCAGCTTCATGAAGTGGGGATCGATCAGCCCAGCAATCTGAAACACAAATCAAGCTCAGAGTCAAGGGCTGAAGGCTTTTCCCGCAGCAGGCTCATGCTGCCCACTCGCTGTGAAGGAGGATCTGGGGGAGAGGAGGGAAGTAGGTACCGTGCATCAAGCATTCTTGCCAGCTGCTGTCAGAGTGACAGGTTACTGTATGTAAATTCTATTAGTTTGGGGACCTGTGCACAGGGGCACAGTCAATCTCTGTGCTCTGGAAGAAGGGGGCAGCTTGAACAAAGCAATAAATTGAGTTCAAATGAATAGTACCCAGCACTTGACTCCAACAGCTCTAAAGAAGGCAAAATGAAGGACGAAACAGGTCAATGAGCTTCCAAGATTTCCATTCTTCTCTCTCTACCCATTTGTACCCAAAGGATTCAACAGGCTGTGGACTAAAGAAGAGGCTTCAAGAGTTCAGAGAAAATGTCTTTTTCTAAATTCCCTAGGTAAATGCCTCTGCTTCACTTGATAAGGAAGTTCACTTATTGTAGTGCACAATGTCAGTTTTAGGTTTCTGATAATATAATCCTCAAAACGTTTATTTTTCCTTCAATAGCTTTACAGTGGGTAGTTTGTTGTGATGGCCTAGGATAGGTTTTTATCAGAATCACCTGACTTCAATCCCACCGTGACTACTCTGCCAAAATTAGCACATTACCGAAATTGAAACTCAATTTCCTGATCTACAGAAAGGAGACATAGTCACCTAGTATTTGGTAAGTGTTGTGCCCTGTAAGAGGGCCAAGAAAATTGGTCCATGATGCTAGGCAAGCAAGACTGAAAATATATGATTAATAAACCAATATGGTGGGCCACTATTGTAAGGAACAGCTTTAGAACTGTTTATGTCAATGTATTTTTCTTGTAATTGCTTCTCTGGAATCAAGATTAACCAGCTAAATAGACATTGGAGAAATAACACTCTGTTAAAAATGCCAAAGGGCAATCTTTTTTTTTTTTTTTTTTTACTAGAAGAACACCTACTCCAATTTCCAAAATTCAGGCATTTTTCAAATTATTACTATACTCTTCACTAGAAAGAATGTAACACACTTTGGATGTAGCACAAAAGACCCTTCTTAACCTTTTCTAGGTGATCCTAGTGGTAATAAGATTTCATATTTTCATATCAGCACACTTACAAAAATTAAATTCCTCCAAAAATGGAAATGTGTGAATTTGAAATGACATAAAGACTCAGGAAAAAAATAAGCTTTCCCAGTGGATGAGATCAGAGCTATTTGCATTCCAATTAGCCTTCTGCCTACGTGGAAACCCAGTGTATCCTCTCTAATGCTTTGGGTTAAAAATGGAGAAAAAGTAGAATGAACTTTGGATTGATACTGAAAGCATCAGTAGAAAATTTTGATTTTTAACATAGCAAGATCCATATAAATTTAGTTGTAAAGTGTAGATGTGTACATAGTCATATGTTTTTTAAACATGGTGTTCTGAGAAAAGCAAACCAATGCTCCCTGGAGAAAAAACATATCCCAGGTCCTTCCCAGAAAAAAAAATAAGGTAGTTTCGACCATCTTGTCAGAAAGTGCTCAGAAAATAGGAAATATCAAAGAGACAGCGCCTGATGTAATGAGGCTTCCATTCCAGATGTGGGATAACTGGAACACCAAAATAAATGAGAACAGGAGATTACAGGCTATCAAATAAAATAGGAGCCTATAAATCCTCACTGATAAAGACAATAGAATATTTGTGAGTCCTCACTCATAAATATTACGCAGATATGGGAAAAGAAAGTGGTTCCTCATAATAGAAGGCCAACTTAGAAATGTAGATGTAAAGACAGAATTAGCCCCTTTTTCTTTCTCCACCAAAAATTCATCAACAAAAGGCACAAAAGTAATCAATTATACAGAGGAACAAAACTTCAAAGAAACCAGCTTATTCAGGTGGTCAACATTAACAGAAGCAGAGGTGGAACCAATGGGCACTGTGTGCCATCTGACAAAATGCAATGAGCTGCATCGTGTACCATCAAAGGGAACACAATGAGAAAACCAGGCCATTGCTTCTATGACATTCATGTCCCCAAATTGCATAACCTGACTGTGATCATGAGGACACTGTGCACCAACACAAACAGAATAGCTATCCTGGAGCCAGTCCAAGGAGGAACTGAGGACTGTTCCAGGTTGAAGGAGGCTGATGAAAAACAACATCTACAGGCCACATTCAACCTTGGATTGGGGTCGTTTTGTTACTAAGGACATTATTGCAACAGAAATGGGATATCTATGCAAAGAGAAGCAGAAATTCTTTGAAAGGCTCTTATAACTTTTCTGTTAGTTGCAATTAGTTCCAAAATAAAAAATAAAAATGTGAAAGAGAAAGATAGGAGATAGACAATAGCATTTCTGATTGCACACACCTGATATAGAATGCCAAACCTCCCTCCTCTTAGGTGCCCCTTATCTACACTTGTATTTTTTTTAATTTTATTTATTTATTTATTTGAGAGAGAGAGAGAGAGAGAGAGAGAGAGAGAGAGAGAGAGAGGCCAGCTCAGCCCACCAGGGGGCGGGCTGGCTGGCATGTGGTGCTGGGGGATTGAACCGCGGTCCCTGATGCTTTTGCTAAGCTTGTTCCAAGTAGGTGCTTTAGACCACTGAGCCATCTCTCCAGCCCCATACACTTGTATTTTTTGAGGACCCCAAGGCTTTCAAGAGGGAAGGGAAACAATTCTCATTGTTTCATGAATGAGAATAACCTCAAATGAATGACCACCATGTTGCTCCACATTAAGAAGTCTCATGGCTTGTGTTAGAAATAGGACCGAAAACCAAGGTTTAAGATTTCAGAAAAAAAAACTTATTGTGGTCTCTTAAGTTCCACCTATCCTCATGGTAAGTCACTTGTCTTTGTTTTTTGTTTTTTATTTTTTGGGTTTTTTAAATGTATTTAGTACAGGGTCTCACTACACAGATCAGACTCATAATGATCCTGCTGTTTTCAGCCTCCCAAGTGCTGGGATTATAGGCACACACCACCATGCCCAGTCTCAATCGCTGTCTCAGAGCGCTCCGGGGGCAGGGCTGACATGGTATGTAGTGCTGGTGATTGAACCTTTGTCCCTGCACTCTGCCTAAGCAGGCACTTTAGTCCACTGAGCTATCAGGCCAGCCCTGGTCACTGGTCTTTGAATGCTCTGACATCTATCTTCTCTTGATAAAGGGCATGAAATTAATCAATTGTATCACCTAAAAGTAGAAATCCTTTTTGTTTCCCAAGTGGAAATAGGAGCATTCTCAAGGAAGTAACCTTTCCAGTTCCACTGTTTTCCACCACTCGATTCAAAGGACCTTGAAGGTTTTTTCACAGAATCATTTCCTTGTAACTGCCAAGGTGAGGGTCTTGTGCTTCACTATGCTTGTTCCCAGCAGCCACTCACACTTATCATTCGCATTTTGCAAATCGGAGCTAACTGTGAGAAATTAAGGATAAAAAGTTTTTGGCAGGTTGAAAATTTTTCCATTTCTTTCAAAAAATATGCAGCTAAGCTCTCCAAGTAAATGAATACTTAAGTAGGACTCAATCGTTCTCCTCTGAGGCAATCTATTTTTAGTAATTTGGCAGACTGCCTGGGTCACAGGGCTGCAAACACATTATGAAGATAGTTTACGAATATATTTGCTTGTTCCTGATGAGGTGTTCAGAAAACGTTCGAGTATTTTTTCATTTCTTCTTTTGATAGTCTCTCAAAATGTGATCTCTAGCTCTCAAATTCTTTGGATAACAATTTCATGATGACTTCTGAAACCATATAATTTCATGATAAACAATAATAATACTTCAGATGGAATATATTAAGTTCCAAGTATTCATGACAAAATTAATCATTCTATTTTACATTTTATTACAATTTTCACCCTATGTAATTCAATAAGTATTTCAGTTTAGTAGTTTATTATTCTAAAAGAGAACTTAATTGGTTATAAACCCCATAGCAATCTTTATTTGCTTTATTCAAGTTCTGAAGTTATATGAAAGAAACAGCTCACATGGTAGATTTTAAAGGGAAGAAAGGCCAGGGAGATAGCTTGGTGGTCTAAGCACCTGCCTTTCAAGTGCAAGAACCCAGGTTCAATCCCTTGTACCGCATGCCATGTTGGCCCCTGAACCCCAAGTGCACTGTGCCAGCCACTGAGACTGGGTGTGTTGGCACGTGTCTGTAATGCCAGTGCTGGGGAGGCTGAGACAGGAGAATTACTATGAGTCCGAGCTGTGTAACAAGACCCTGTACCAAATAAATAAATAAATAGATTTTGAGAATAATAAATAAATAAAGGGGAAAATTCATAAACGATGTTAATTTTGAACCAAAATAAAGGCAAGAACATAGCAGAATAAAGACTAAAAAAAAATCAACAACAACAAAGGTTGGGCTGGCCAGATAGCTCAGCAAACTAAAGCACCAGCTTAGGCAGATGGAGGGATTAGGGTTCGATCCCATGCATGCCATGCCGGCACCACCCCAGGGCTTGCTGAGAGCAACTGAGACTAGGCGTGGTGGTGCACACCTGTAATCCCAGCTCTTGGGAGGCTGAAAACAGGAGGATCACTATGAGTCTGATCTGTGCAGTGAGACCCTGTAGACCCTGTACTAAATACATAAAAAAGACAACAGTCAAGAAAGTAGTGTAATAAATTTCCTGAGATATCTAAAATATTATAATAAAATGATATTAAAATTAATATTCTGTAGAATATCCAGTTCTGGAAAAGATACAAGTCAGTGACCCATGTTAGACATAATGAGCAGGTTAGAAAGAAGGCTTCTTTGAATCCATTAAGGACAAAAGAGTTGAACTACAGATGAGAAATGAGGGATCAAAGACCCTGGTAGGAGCTCATTTTTGCAACTTAATAAAGGCCAGCAGGCATTTAAGATATATACTCCCTCAGAGGATGGTAAGGATTAGAGATGAGAAAACAATGAGCAGAACTAAATAAATAACAGAGTGCTAAGTAGAGACTTGGGTGCAAAATGAACAAAGAAAATCCTATTGGAATGGAAAGGGCAGGAAAAAGGAGACAGGATGAGAAGTCAGGCAGAGGCATGGCTGGTAAGTAGAGCCAACTCTTAGAATTTAGAATGAACAGGGGCCGGGAAGATGGCTCAGTAGGATAACCGCTTGACTGGCAAACTTAAGGATCTGAGTTTAGTCCCCGGTTCCGCCAAAAAAAAGATTTTTTTCTATAAATGTAATTGCCCCCTAGCTATAGGGGAAATGTAAAAAAAAAAAAAGAATTTAGAATGAGGACAAGTGATTTTGAGTGTAATACTTAGAACAGTTTCCTAGACTTAGCTTTAAAAAGCTTATTTTAAAGGGAGTACTATAGTTCTACAACCTCCTATCTACAATTGTAAAATCCTCCAAATTCTGAAAACTAAGCTGTCCTCTAAATGTGATGCAAACTTTTTTGGTAGTAAAACAAAGCTGGAACTCAGGTTAAGCAGTTTATTATTTTTATTTGTGTTTTCACATAGTATGAATATTTATTTGCACACAGTGCAGTCTTTCTAACATTTAAAAGGTCCTGAATTCAGAAACATGCTTGAACCAGAACTTGTGGATAACAGATTATGTTGGCCTATATCTACATCTTACTTTCATCATCTTTGATGACCAGGTCACAGTACTAAATAAAGCACAGTACAAATCATAAAGGTTGAAAATTCATACAGCATGTCTCCCTGGAGAAAGTGTGCTTGCAGAAATATCTGTCATTTTAAGGGGAGATTCCAGTAACCCATCTGGTGCTGTAGGCATAATGCCAAGGGGCAGGAATAATGTTTCAAACTATATTTACTGACAAAATACATAAAGAAGCTTGAACAAACAAAACTAATACACAACCTAAACAACCAGCCACAGCTGCACTGAACTCAAATGAGTTATATACAAATGTATTAGTTTAAACTGCAATGACATCTCAACTAATCATTCCAAAATATGAAATTCAAAGGAAGGAATTCTAAGAGATTTATGGCCCCCAAAAGTGATACTTTATGTGGAATGTGACATTAGGTGCAACTTCCAAAAGAAAGAGTGCCCAGGAACTAAGAAAGTGTGAATTCTGCCCTGGTTAATTTTTCTGATTTCTCTTTGGTTTTGACATTACCAGCAATAGTTAACAAGAATGGAACATACCAGCACAATCAAGAAATGTAACCTTGAGCAGGCCATTGTAAGTCAGTTAGTTAACCTACTGATTGAATGTCATATATTTTCCCAAGCAACATATCCTTGACTGATGAACAGCAAAGATAATTTCTGGTTTCACACATTCACAAATTGTGTTGCTTTTAATACATCTAGATTTGAATATACAGGATCTGACTACTTGTAGTGTCAAAAGAAAAAACACTATTAGAATCAAGTAAAAAACTATTGGTTCTTGCATGTAACCAACACATTATTTATAGAAAGACTTATTTACCAAATCTGGATCTACTGTGTGCCTGACATATATCTATATTGTGTGGGAGGGGAGTGTAGGGGCATAGATATACACGAACACATACATATATAGGAAGGAAATTAAATTCAGAAATTAGTGTGCACTATTCTCACCTCTTACTCTTTTTAACAATAACTGAAAATATGTTTTTGACCTTATAATGCTGATTATGTTGTTTGAAAATTAAATAAATATGATTGTAGGAACTTGAACAAGGAAATCTGTTTGAGCTAGAGAGTGAATGAACTTTAAAAATATAAGTTATAGCTACAGAACTAAATTTCAACCACGCTTACATGGATTTTCACTACTATAAAATCTTTTCAAGAATGTACTGAAGAAAGGACAACAAAACAGGAACAACACACAAGAGCAGTGAGAGAAAACATTTGTACACAACTCTGCTACTATTTTGTTGAACTTTACCTAATGTAAACCATGAGGACATTATGAGAACATCAAAATTATTACTAGAAATTCTAAAATGCTCCTGTCCAAATTTACAAATGGAATTAAAAAATAGCTTTCCATATCATGCTTAACTTGAAACTATGGAGAAACGTTTTTCACCAGCCAAAGTAACATACCTCCCTGAAATGTGTGACAAATGTAATCCCCAAAAGAAATCTCTTTCCACAGTCCAGGCCTTCTGAAACTTTCTGAAACTTCAAAATTCTTCTCATTTTCCCCAGTTAACTGAAGCATTCCGATGCTTCGTCTTTGGAGGTCTTATTTCTTTTGGATAACACTGCTGACGTCTAGTGTTTTCCCAGTTGCCTAGTGTATCAGAATCACATAGCATAAGACTATTTTGAAAGAGTCTTGGATGCAAATTGAAATGGATACTGGATAAAGAATGATGTAACCCTGGAACCCCGGCAAACACTAAAAATACATAGGGAAATTCTGAACACTGTTTATGAATAAATAGTCTCCTATTAAGTGACAATCCCAGCAGGGACAAGGATATCTGATTCATTTAGTTTTGTGGCACTTCACTACAATTAAGGTGATTTTTTTTTCTTAAAAGAAATGTAGACTAATCTGTACAAAGCCTAAAGCTTTAAGATATTTTATCCAAAACATGGTATTTTATAGTATAAGAAGCTCTGTTTGTGGTGCTTTGCATAGACCTACTTACAAATTGATTTAGTGAAGAATTTTTCTGAGGGGGACAACTGGTTAATCAATTCCATTTGCAAACAAGAGTACAGAAATACGTATAGCATGCCACATTTGATGCTTTAAATCGAATTTATTGGTTGTTCTATTGCCTAAGAAAATGTAGTCTTGTTCAAATACTATTTTAAAATCTGATTAAAAATATTAAAGAAAATAATGTTATGTAAGTAATTATTTTGGCCAGTAGAAATGAAATTTTTCAAAATACTCTTAGAAAGCCATCACCCTATTTACTTCTTAGAATATTAATAGATTTACTGACTTGCAAAAATGAAGCTGAAAATCCGTCACAAATTGGTGCTCCCAACACCACCTTCTAATTTAAATTGTTAGGTAATTTTCTAAAACTACCCACTCAAAACCAAAGTATACAGAAAATCCGCCGTCTTGAAAAACTGCTCAGATGAATTATCTAGGAGGGTATTTTTTAAGCATTGGGAAGAAATTCATGTATTTTACCTGAAATTCCACCATAGATCTCTTCTGCTATCCTAGCAGCTTCTTTTCTATTTCCTTTGACGATATAGAAATGGGTTAGGAGAGCCAAAAACACTTTAATTAAAAGCTTGAAGAAAAAAAAAGTAGCAAACATTGTAATAAAAATGTTTTTAAAGCCATAGAAAACAGCACCATCTTCCATTTTGGCTTATGCTCTGTATAGGTTCCTATGACTGCAAATTTTCACAGAGTTATAAGTGGTATCATATGACATCTATTTAAAACCTAGCACTCGGTGCTCCTATTACTGAGGACTTAGTTTGTAGGTTCTAATCTATCTCTCATTTGGTGACTGCTTATGCAGACACCCATGGCAATGTTAAATAAAGAAATTCTCTTCTACCAGAAATACCCAGGAGTTCTAGAACTGCACTACTCAATGCTATCTAACAGAGGATTCAGGTCTGAAAGACTTTTACTCCTAAATTCCTATTTCTACTATATTATGTTGGAAAGCAGGATTGGAAAGAGAAAAGTTACTTTTAAGATCTCATGGGACAAAGCAAGTTATTTGATGTTGATACAAAAAAGGATAAATATATGCTATGTTCTTAGTAGAAAATTCTCCTCCTGGCAGCACTTCATTTTCTTTTCATTCTGAGGTCTGTGGATGATTAATCCCAAATCTAAAATATGACAAGCTAGAAAAGACTACTTACTCTAAAACAGTATTTAATAAAATGTCCATCTTGGGTGCCTGAGTGAAAGGGAGACAGTGACTGCAAGTGTTAGACTCATTGTTGTGGTATTTTGATCCATGAAAAGCTCCCACAGCAAGGTTCCTTCCCAGTTATTCACTTCCATTTCAAACATCAGGAAAGTTGTCTTGATCAGGGAAGCGTCAAGAGGAAATGGATGAAAGAGATACCCTGGGATCTAAGGGAACTAACCAAAGATTCCGTGAATCAAGACCTTCTCTAGTTGGACAATGTTTCCTCAGCAGCTGTCCAACACAAGTGAAATTGATTTATATTTAATTTTCTGCATCATCGTCTCTTCTTTCATTCTTAATCTCAAAACTTACTGAAAAGGCAAGTCAAAACAAAATTCTAAGATGACACTAAATAAATCTTATTTCATAAATGCTTTATGCAAAAATATGGGAGCTTCTCATAGCATTCAGGCAATTTAGAACGACTACTTCTGCAAGAACTGTTTCACTAAACCCTTATTGAGGTTGACACAATCTTGAGCCATAGGCCATAGCTTATCCATTTCACTGTTACTGTACTATAAAGTTTTAGTTGTTTCCACTTTCAAAGCACAAATATTAATGTATAAATCTCCCTTATCAAACTTAGATTATCTGCTAGAATACCAATGTAGGAAAATATGTGAATAAAAGTACCTTAACTCTTCTCATTAATTCGTTTTCAGTTTTGCTACTCTAAGCAAGCTACTGTTCACTCACGTCAGACCAGTAATTTATATTGCATACTTAATTCAATCTTGTTTGGGTCTTAATTTTCACATGAAACATGGTTTTCCTTTGCATTTTTTACGTGCCAAAAGTTGGCTAAAACAGCTGCCTGCATTATTTCTGAGTGACCATAATAACTACATTTATTATTTGAGATGGGCATAAAATTTACTGATATATAATAACTGAGTCATGTATCTCTGAGAGATGAAATAATTAGCACTGTACCAGTTTCTCAAGTACAGCATTATGGATATCTTGACCAGACAATTCTGTTACGGGGACCTGCCGGAGCACTGTAGGATAATAAGCAGTGACTCTGATTTCTACTTGATGCGAATGCCTTGCACATCCAGCTGTAACAACCAGAAATGTCTCCAGGCTTTGTCAAGTGTCCCCTGGGGAAGAAAATTTGTTCCCCCCCAACACAACACTTTTCAGTCAAAATACACTGAGCAATGACCTATGCGATGGCTTCTATCTGGATGTCCCCTGAAAACTTCATGTACTCACAGGTGGAGCATTAAAAGGGTGAATGAATTATGGGGGCACTACCCCTGGTTTGGTGTTTAGAGGTAGGGCCTGGTTAGAAGACTCAGGCCACTTGGAGTGTTATTTGGAAGGATATCTCGCACTCATTGACTGCTCCCTCCTCTCTCTGTGTCCTGGACACCATCATGTGAGCAGCTTTCCACTGCCGTGACCTTCTGCCACGCTGCTGCTTCTTTGGAGCCATCCCACTGTGGACTGAAACATGAGCCCAAATAAACCTCTCCTCCTGGGTGTTGTGAGTGTTATCTTGACCCAGTGATGAGGACAGCGTCAGTATGACAGGTTTTGCTACCAGAAGTTGAAGTCATTGCTGTGACTCTTAGCTGACTATGTGATTCAGAAGCCTTCAGAACTAGTTTGTGAGGGAATTTAGAAAGATTTGAAGATGTTAGGTGGAAAAGAAGCGCTACAATGCAGTCAAATGAACTTGATGGGAGATCCTGGTCAAAGTGCAAAGGACCAAAATGCTGATGGACAGGTGGATGGTAAAGATGAGGCTCCCAGATTCCATTGGTATATGGTCTCCAGGCTGTATGTTTTATGCTCTGGCAGGAAAAAAATCTACATTTTACTCATGTTGAGATTTTGCAGGAGACTGACATTAAGGGTGGTGGACTAATTAATCCAGAAGTGGATATTTTGGCAGTCCAATACTGAGGATGTGGCCCGAGTACTACTAAGGGTTCTAGGCAGCTCTCTATGAAGGCTAATGAGCAAAACACATAGCTGATTTTTAAAGTTTCTTAGATCTTCAGAAATGAAGTTCCTATACAGTTGGGGCCCATAAAGCTAGACCAAAGGAGAGCTTAATTGCTGAAAGATTAGCATTAAAAAGGAGCCAAGTAGTTCACAACAGGACAACAGAAAAAATGGCTTGAGGGGAAGGCAAGAATCAGTGAGATCCTCTGCCTGCATGGGATCAAGAGTACAAAGGTGTGGTGTTTTCATTAGAGAGCCCCAGGATGCCATGCTGGAAAATAGTAACATAAGAAACTGACTCCTTGGGATTTAGTTCAGTGCTCAGCCATTCAGGCACTCAGAGGGTGCTGTGGCCAAGATTCAAGAGGGCTGGCTACTACTTGACCTGGCTGCAGACCTTGTATCACCCATTTGGTGCTAGTTTTAAAATCATGCAAAACCCAAGAGTTAAGAGATCAGGGATGCTTCCACCTACATTCTAGGGCTAGAAAACCAGGCATTGTACTTTTCAGAGAGCAGTGCATGAAGTTGTGAGACTAAAGCTGAAATGCAGTAGAGACCCCTGGAAGTTGAAGCCAAGAATGTGGAAGGTCTGAAGAAAGCTACAAGGTGTAAGCAAAGCCAGCCCAAGTGAGAAACCATGAGAGCTACAACCATAGGCAATGCCATAGTGGCCAGGCCACCCGGGCATTTTGGGGCTTACATGTCATACAACTTCCTCCAAGTGCTAGAAACAGAACTAGGTTTCTGTCTTGCTTTGGTCCACTGGTTTCTATCCCATTTTCCTTTCTTGGAATGGGAATGTTTATCCCATGCTACTTTGTGGTGTTTAATTTCTGGATTTTTACAGAGGCTCATAACTAAGTTTATATTACGTCTCAGGGCAGACTTTGGACTTCGACTTCAGTAATGCTGAAACTGTTAAGACTTGGGCAACTGAAGCAAATGTACTTCACACAAAGAAATGCTCATGAATCTTTTGGGGACAGGAGTAATGTTACACTATATACAGATGTCCCTCAAAGGCTCGTGTGCTCAATCAGAAGTGGGGATTTTAGGAGGTCACTACATTATGAGGCCCTTACAGCTGACTTGTCAAAAAGTAGTGTCTGGTCAGCAGCGTTGGGTCACTGGGAATGTGACCTGGAAGGTTTTACCTCCCTCCCCACATCCTTCCTGTTCTGCTTCCTGGCTGCCATGAGATGTGCAGCTTTTTTCTGCCAACCTCTTTCTTTCTTGGAGTTCACAGATGTTGGACAGAAACATGAATCAAAATAAACCTCTCCTTTTTTAAGTTGGCTGTGTCGGGTATTTTGTCCTAGTTATGAGTAAAGTGACTAAGAGAGCCACACAGAAATGATAAAATCAACTCTCCAAATTACTATACAACTCAAATTCTATGTAGAACTTTAATTTTCATTTCATATTAAAAATCCAACTATAGAATGATACAATTTTACATTTAGCCACATCTTTTTGGGAATACAAATTGACAGAGGTAGGGCCAGCCAAATAGCTCAGAGGATTAAAGCACCTGCAAGCAGGCGCAGAAGCCAGGGGTTCAATCCCTGGGCCTACTGTGCCGGCCCTACGCGCAGGGCGTGCTGAGATAGCAATTGAGACTGGGCATGGTGGTACACACCTGTAATCCCAACACATGGGAGGCTGTAAACAGGAGAATCACTACGAGTCCGATCTAGTAATGAGACCCTGAACACCCTGTAGACCCTTCCCCAAAATACAAAATAAAAAAAACAAAGAAATTGACAGTGGCCTTTAAAATATTTCACAAAAGTAAACATATATCCATGATAGCCTGATGTCAAGAGTAAGTTCTGGTAAGATAAATCAGAATACATACATACAGGAGACTGCTTTCTGCTGCTTCTAACACAAAACATGGGAAAAGTTGGGCTCCTATAAAAATTGAAGCTTCTCTTAAAATAGCTAGCAAGATACAATATATTACATAGGCCACGCACTGTAATGTAGAGATGTATTCATTTTTCTAATGTAATAAGGCTTTTTGGATCAAGAAACAAAGTCACAACTGTATTTATAATTCTATAGAGTAATACAGATCATACATTCTAGAAATAAGACAGTGACTCATCTTCTAGAAATTTCCTTTTTTATTGACTGTTAGTCAGCATTTTGTTACTGTATCAATGTATCTGAAAAAAATCAGAAGGAAAGATGTACTTTGACACGGGCTCAAAGGTTTCAGTCCTTGTTAAGCTGGCTCCACTGTTTCAGGGCCTATGAGGAGGCAGAAAGATCATGGTGGAAAGGAGGGATAGAGGAAAGCTACTTACCTTGTGGCAACCAAGAAACTGAATAGGCAGAGCCAGAAGACAGAGGTCTAGAGATAAAATAGGTCCCACCTCTATGATCCGCTCCCTTCACCTAGGGCCCACCTCTCATTTCGACAACCTCTCAATAACCATCAAATTATGAGTTCAACAATGGATTAATCTATGGAGACTTAATAGGTCTCATGATCCACTCATCTTCCAAAGGCCCCACCTCTGGACACTGCTGCGCTGAACTGAAAACCCAGCGAGGAAAACATGAACCTAGATAGACATATAGTACACAAGCCCTAGGAGGGGCAGACCAAGCAACACATGTACTATGCTAAAAAAGCAAGTGGGGAGGGGATGAATGGGACCTTGTTCCACTAGTAAAGAGTATTCCATCCATAAAACGAGACAAGTTAAGAAAATTGTCAAAATGTCATTCTTTATTTTTGGACATGTAGCATGTTTTAACAAACCAGGTACATGTGCAACTGCATAACAAAAAACATTTTAAGAAGTTCCTCATCATTGTAAGTTCACTTACAAATAAATGTGAGGAACAGGACAGAACAATGTGTTTCCATATACTGACCAGTACAACCAGAAAGCCTAAAAGTGAAGATTAAGACAAATAAATTTACTTCCATCTTTTAAAAAAGTAAAATAATTTTGACTTGTAAATTACACATTTTATATGCAAAACTAATCACTTTAAAATTCTATTTTGATTTTAAATAAATGACAATTCAAGAATTAAATAATTTGAAAAAAAACAAGAAGCAAAAGGAAAAACAGTAGTGTACCATTAAAAACTGCAGATTAGAACAAACAAAACCAAGTATTAACCATTTATCACTTTATCATGAACATTGGCACTGTTTATTTCATATCTATGTCAGTTTCAATGCATAAAAATCTTAATAAGACTGAATGGTTATGTCCATTTTTCTCCAACAAAAGAATTTCTAACTTCTACATTTTAAAAATTGCACACTTGCATTTGTGTTTTAGTATAAATAAAACACTAATATACAGCTTTTATATCAGTGGCAATTGGGTAATAGGCAGAAGATACTTTTTAAAAGGTAAGACGTTTTGTGAATGTTGTCATTAAAAATATCCTGTACAGAATCACAATACTGACAGAATCTGTCTAGTGCACACACAAGTGCCTCATTGTTATGATTTCACAGTCCTTTTGCACAAAACTTTATTCTGAAGAGTTCAAAGGATAATACACACCATGTGGATAATTGGGGGTTAAAAACCCATGGCTCTGGGCAACAATGATTACAGTTAACATCTACCCACAAGAGACTTGTGTTCCTAAAATTTTCAGACTTGGTTGGCTATAAATAAAACATTCTGGAGTAAAGCCTTTTGCACACTGACAATACTTATCAGACATCAGCTAGGCCACAGTGGAGGATAGTGACTTATATCAAAAGGACAGAGTAGCAGCTGGTTTTGAGATGGCACACCACATACATTCTGCTCAGATAACAAGAAGGCATTTACAAAGGACTAAATTATGCACTGAAAAATTGGAGGCTTTCTCTGCATGATCATCAACAGTGATATCGGTCCCTAGAATTTAAAAAGCAAAAGGGCTCTTCATAAACAGAACTGAGGATGGAGAATGCATACAACGGGCTCAAAGGACTTGGAATATGCCAGAGACTTCTTCCTGGCATTAACTAGTGTAAGCATTTTTGGCATGATAGACATTTTACCATTTCATGTCAACCATGACTACAGTAAGCTGAATGCATCCCTGGTCCTTAATAGCAGTTTACACACAGCAGGTGATCAAAACATGCTGGTTAACTAACAGACCGTCTTACTAAAGATACCTGCTGCTAGTATGTAACACTTACTGAGAGGACCCAATAAACATTTAAGAGCATCACTTAAATGCCTAATAGATATCTATGAACATGACTTAAAGGAGTTCCCATAATTGGTATACTTCCCTAAAGAAAACCTGTAAACATTTGGTGAATGTTTAAGTAATGCTTTAACATTAAAAACTGGCCAAAAAGTACCCAGAAACATTTGGCCCTTCAGCACCCAAAGCTCTCAAAATATAATGTTAAAACATCTCTGCTAGAAGGATTTCAGTTATCTGAAAAATGTCATACCTGAGTGGCTTAACCATTCTCTCCTAAATTGTAAAGAAGTGCAAGAAGTTTCTACACTCAGGAATTGCATAAGTTTTTAATCTTTCCTTAAACTAAAACATCATATGATATAGAGGTAGCATAACTTACTGAATTAAATTTAAGAAACAAAACCCAAAAAGCAAGGTTATTTTCAACCATCTTAATAGAAGTGTTACAAATGTTTAAAACATTACAAGGCAGGCTTTCTTCTACCTGGTTTTAGACACCTTCTTGTTCTCATCCCTTTTTTCACTGGGAGGACAGTGATGAGTCCAGGCACCTCTTGGCCCAGTGGCGTCTATTGCAACATCAATGATAGAATCTGGAGTGATCCATCTCAGGAAGATAAGGAACATATAGTTGAGCACAGCCAACAGAGCAAAAATGTGGCCTGTGACTGAGCCACAGTGAGAGATGAGCCTATTCAGTCGCTTGTCCATGGGCAACACGTCTTCCTTCAAGACCAGCTCATACACCTGGAGGAGAGAAGGCAAAGAATGAATGCTGGGAGCCAGAAGACTCCCACAACAGACAACGACCCACCCTAACCAAGAATGTTTCCGAAACACATGCAAACAGAAGTCACTTGTGTTTGATGTTGTTACAATAACGATGTCCTTAATGAACTTACAATAATTTCTGCAATCGGGTTGAGTGCTTGTTGGGCACATAATCTGGACAAAACACCATGATATAAAGAATAAGCTACAGTTGCTTTCTCTTAGGAGACCAACATCGATTTCAACTGAGTACCAGAATACCAAAGTCCTGCAAAGTCCAAATAGCTTTTCAGGTCACAACTACAGGGGTAATATTTAATTAAGCAATGACTCGAAGGTATTCAAACAGGACTGGCCTTTTCAGATGCTTTGGGGGGAGAAAACTCTCACTGGTCTCTACCAGAGAAAAAGCATCATTATAGCAGTACAGTAAGTGGGCCTCTAGGGACACACAGGCTCTTCCTTCAACAACTGTGCAAGGCTATCCATGCTGCTGTCCATCGTAGGTGAGGATATGGAGAAACGCTTCAGAGATTGCAAGCAGAAGGGGGGAAGACTGAGTAAACTTTAATAAGCAGCATAGGTCAAATACTGGCAAATAAAGTCTACTGGTGAAAACTGGTAGAGCATGACGTGCTGTTTAAAACTGCTGAGCACTAAACTCTAAAATATTAAGTAACAAAGATCTTTAAATATACCTGTGCAGAACACATCAAATGAGCCAGCATTCCTGTTTTGCAATTGCACTTGGGAATTACTTGTGCTTGGTCTCAAATAATGTACCTGTAAATTGTCTTCTTTTGAGTTCAAGAAGTTACAACAAGTGCAATTTCTACAGGTCAGTGGCCTTTCAAAGGTAAGGCATGTTTTCATCTAGCTCTTCTACCCTGAGGACATTTTAAATACAAGCATTTTAATCAGAATGATGTTGAGGATTATGTTGTGGCTGGTGGACTGTAATCAAATAGTGTGCTCACAGCATTAAGTCCAATTTAATTTTGAGATCGGTTTTCTACATAGTACAGTTGAACTAAAAAGAGCTGAAAAGGATTAAAATGTCCTACAGTTAAAAGACCAAATATAAACTGATTTGTTTATACAGCTCTATTTCAAGTCAATTATTTATCATCTTAAGTGACAAGATAAGTTACTTCTATAAAGAGAATGTGACAATCTGTTACAGATGAGAATTTGCTTTGTTTTGACTGTATGCTATAAATTACCAGACCATAAAAGAGAAAAAATATAAGTGCTTTACTATTTGAAATATAACTACATGAAGTATAATTATAAAAACAATGCTAATTAGCTCCTTAACAAATTGTCACCATAGTCCTTTTCCCGCTTAATTTCTTACCTATCATAGCTCAGAGCTCTCAAGTTGTATCAAGTCTATACACAATTTACAGAGCTGTAGTTGTGTAGGGCGATCAGGGCGTGTCTCCAAAAAACCTGTCTAGCCATATATTCCTGCCAGCCATACCACAAATTCCATCTCAGCTCCCCAAAGGTCACATTAGACTCTAGGGAGTGCCTGGGAGATAAGGAAACAAAAAGATGGAGGATACAGAGCCTGAAGTGGCTACTATGCTGATTGCAACATACACTCCCACAGGTGCCACACTCCAACTTCCAAAGAAAAATTTCGGTTAGCTATCTGATAAGGTAGAGATACTCCAAGACTTTTCTAGAAAGTCAGACTGCCTGAGGCCCTTGAGTTCAAACCATTTCAGAAGTCTCCTAGTTCAATGGAAAATGTTATTATGGATGACCACGTTTACAGAGAAAGAGGTTTTTGAATTCACATTCCAATATGGGTTCATTTTGGATACTGAAATTTGTAATTCAAATCAAGTAAGAATGCCTTATAGTAAAGGGCTAGTATCAGTGGGAGACACCTAGCAGTTTCCATTTAGTGTGGTACATGACAAGAGGCAAAAGGCAGAGTAGTCATGAGAAAGATCTAAAGGATGAAGCTGAAAAGAAATGCAGTCCATTTGGGAACCACCTCTCAGCATGTACTCTCCTACCTAAGGTGGCAATCCATTTTCTGTACCTGTCCTTTCTTGAATGTTCTATTGCTGCTTTTCATCTGTCATCATATTTCCAACTTGAACTCTAACTTACTATATTTTCTATTAACCCACAGTTGCCAAAATAATTTTCCTGCAGAAAAGTATAGTGGTTAGCAAAAGCATGACAGAAGGCTCAAGAAGTAGTCAGAATCAAATATTAACAGTTATAAAGCTACTGTAAACACCAAAACCATATATTTGCTAATAGACCTAGATAATTTTGAATGATAAACAACCTTAAGAAAACATCTAAGGATAGATTTCAATACTAGTTTTGCCTTTAACTGCTAAGACTTTTACAAAATTTTGTGGTTTCCCCATACCCAGTTTAGTCAACTGTTAATGATTCTTTCAGATGTCAATGCAATGATTTGAATAGAAACTTAGCCCAGCACATACCCAAAAATTATCCTTAGTTCATTTCTTTTCATATGGAAGACAGTCCATAAATTTAACCAAAAACATTAATGGCCAACTTGTACATAAGAGAAACCGAAGGCTACGTGAAATTTCGAGGAAGAGCTCAGACAAGATCTTTGCTCAGCATGTGACATACCTTTTCAGTTCTCTGCGCAACATTCCTCCACGTGTAGAAAGTCTTTACTACACTATGGATATTTTCTGGGGTTGGAAGTGTCCCCGACTTCAGTTGGAAAATAGCTTTTTCCAACCCTTCACACAAAGATTTTACTGAAGGCTCACACAGAACAATGAGACTTTCTGGAAGCACCTCAGGAATTCCACCCACCTTGGTACTTACAACCTTCAAAAGAAAAAAGGAATACATGATCCACCTATAATGACCTCAGGTCAATCATCAAAATGAAGTTAAAACATTGTTATAACATATGTCCTACTATTTTTTCAAAATATAGATAAAGATATCCCCACAATGTAAGCCCTTCAAGCTTTTTACCTGTAAACCACAACTGGCTGCTTCCACAATCGCCATGCAGAATGCTTCGGTGAGGGAGGTGTTAAGAAAAATATGCCCTTGAACTAAGACATCTCTAACGTCCTTGTGTTCTAAAGCTCCCAAAAGACGCACCCTGATTTTTTAAATGAGAGGGGGAAAGAAAAGGGAATGAAAAATCACGCTACAAAAAATTTAATTTCTAAGCCGTCAGCTTTTATGTAGAGTCCTACAAGTGCTAATGTTTTCTACCTCAAAACATTAACATAACTAAATACCTACGTTTTTAAAAAAGCCCTATAAAGCTGTGATATACCTCATAAAATTAACATATTGCTAACTTTTATTTATTTACTTATTTTTTGTCTTTTTGAGACAGGGTCTCACTCTGCAGTTCAGGCTGGCGTTGAGCTCACCTTGTAGAGCAGACTGATCTGAAAGTTGTAATGATCCTCATGCCTCAGCCTCCCAAGTGCTGAGATTACAGGAGTGTGCCACCACACCTGGCCTCTAACTTTTTAACATGTACAAATTTCACCTTCTCTAAAGCTAATTTGCATTAAATGGAAATATTGGTATGACTTAAAAATCTGCAAATATTCCCAATCACAGTGGTTGCCTATTGGGCCTTCCATGATATTTCCAACTACTATTCCCCAATGTCACATAATATCAGGCTAATAGAAAAATAAAATTGTGAATTTTTAATTGTGGTTCTCATTTTATATAAATTCTTTAAAAACAGGCCTTGAATTATTGTACATCAATTACATGGCAAAGAAGCAGCACATTTAAGCGGGCATGTAGCTAAAACCAAACAGCCACTGCTGGTACTTTCTTACCCACAATATGACAGCCACTGATACCTGTCATGTAGCTGGTATCTTTCCCGTACTTCTTCCAAAATGATTCTCTTTGGTCCCTCTCCTCCAATTATGAAATTTAGATTTTGATATTTCTGGCAGAGTTCAGGTATTATGCCACAAAGCAAATCAGTCCCTGAAAACAAAGTTGAATGTTAGAGATATTAATGTTTGAACTTCAAAATTCATCAGAAATGAGAATTTACTCATTTATTAAGATATAAGATACAGCATTTAGAAATACAGAAATTAACTCTCTCACATGTTTCCTGGGGGTGGAATCATTCATAAACTGCCAACAGTTCCCAAGGGTTATAATTCTTGGTGATACAGACCCTGACATGCTTTGTTACCTTTTATACAACCAAAATATGGACAATTCTTTTTCAGTATCCTTCAGAGATTCACTTGGACACACTGCCTCCTACTACCAAAAGGTATTTAAGTTAGCTAACTAATGTTTCAATTATTCTTCATAGCACGCAGCCTGCTAGAGCTAGCGATCTGGGTCTTGTCCCAGTTTCTTTCTTTCTTCCTTTTCTTTTATAACAAGCAAGCCCTTGATCACAGCTAAGTACCCTGATCTACTAAATGCAGAGACCTCCCAGTATTGAAAAAAAATGCAGAGACCTATGTACCTACAATCTCAAGGTCTCTTTCAGCTATAAAATTCTATCAGCATGACTCTTACTTCCTGCCATAAGAGTTAAGCAACAAAGTCTAAGTGCTTCCTCTACTTTGTTCAAAACTCAGTTTGCAAGGAGAATTTTTCAACAAACACTATAGTTCTGCCATGACTTCAAAAAAGAGTCCACTCAAACCAGCTATACCCTAGTTCTTGAGAATAAATAGGCAAAGGGGGTAGAACTACAGCTGTGAGATCGTTCCATTATACACAGCAAAAAGGATTCATCTTTATTCCTTTCTTCAGAAATTTATTTTTCTTACATTATATAAAGACCACCTCAGATAATACAATGCAATCAAATAAATCATGCTCTACTAGTCTGCAAGTTAAAGGCTAAGCACAGAGCAATGTTGACACTACCTGGAAATAGTTCATTAACAACTATAAATCATACACATTTATAAGTAAAAAGAAACATAAAAAAGATGACACTAAGCTGTAAAATATACATGGTGAAATTATATTTATATGTAGAAATTTGTATTAAGTGAATATGTACAAACTTCGATAGCTGTTATGTATTTTAAAAGAGAAGCAATTCCTGAAAAATAAAAATATATTCATTTAAATATTAATAAGTAATTCTCCTGTCACATCTCTCCCCATGTAATAAATTAAAATAATTTCAATTAGACCTGTTTATTAATAAAAAATATCCATACACAGAATTTCTTATACTGATCTTCCTCAAAATAGGCAGAATTATAAAATAGTGGCTGACATTATACGTATATGGTCATTTTTATTAAATAGTGCAACATAGGATTAAATAAACTCTGTTGGTACCTTCAACATATTATATGTACAAAAATACCCATGTAGTTTTTTTTAATTATGAAGGCTTCTCATTAAAATCTTAGCTATCTTTGTCTCAAGCCTGTTACCAAATCCATTCATTGGGTTTTTACATAAAACCAGAAAGTGAATTAATGACCATTAACATTTAGCCTCCTACACTTTCTTCCTTTTACTTTCATTTTTGTCTCTTACCCTTCTTCCTCTTTCATTCCTTTGAAATACAGGGTTAAGAGTTCATTTTTTAAACAAAAGTGGAACAATAATCATAATTGCTGATAACAGCGAACATCTACTGAATGGCTACTATGCTAGTACTTGAAATGCGTTATATCTTTTAGTACTGACAATCACCATAAAAGAAATGAAACTGATTAATACTATTAATGCGCTATAATAGTATTCCAGGAATAAAGGGTTTTTTCTCTCAATATAAAAAATTACTCTGGTGCCTGCAAGACTTTAACACAATGGAACATTCAAAGACTTTTAATTGCCATCATATAAAATAGACAAGGAAAATTCCCAACTTGGATTGCTTTTAATGCTCAGTCTAACAGGAGTTGAGCCTTCTGTCCTATCCTAAGACCTAATGACCCAGCTAGGAAACAGGCAACCTGAACGCAAGAGCTGGCCTCATATTTCTCATGTTATTCACTGTATAACCTGGGCGAGTTACTTATCGTCCCTCAGACTGTTTCTTGGTGTGTTACAAGCAGATAACACGTACCTACAGTTGCTGGGAGGGATCAAGTGGGGTACGACATTGCACACACAGGGTTTCACCACTACAGAACCCCTTGCTAGATTATCATCACCGCCACAATAAGAAGTGAGATGCGTCAGTACACTCACTGAGCACTGCGAGACCTCAACTGAGAGCAAAATAGGGTGGAACGAAGAGGGCTCATTGCAGCCAGCCTGGAAACCCTGGCAAGGAATATTTGCATTTATCTTCTTAATTAATCCACCCCAATGAGCTTCTCATATCTGGTCTAATGAATACCTCCAGATGAAATTGACTTGATAATAACGAATGGCCCATTAAGATAACTACTTAGTTTTGGGCTGTGGATGTGGTCATTCCTTAGCAGAATATTACTGTTGCAGGAGGCCTTACATATGGAGAGGGTTTGATAAATATCTGAGGACTGAACTGAGAACAGCAAAGAATGTAACCTTCACTCCACTGGTGACTAGCTCACTGATTAAAACACCACATTAATGAAGTAGAAGTAACAGGTATGAGTAGTAAGTTTTACTGGTCTATTGCACACACACACACACACACACACACACACACACACCCCATGTTCTTTCTTGGCTATCTCACAAAGGTATGCTATTTGATTAAAAATAAATCAGGTAACTTTTTATAATAAACACATCACCAATACCCCAAGTAGGACACAAAAGAATGCCAGCCAATTCATATCTTCTTGGTAAACAAGTAGACACACATCACTAACCTCACCCAGAAAATGCAGTTCAGTGCAGGTTTTCTTACCACCTCCACTTACGTGGACTTTCTATTCCACATGTGGGCTATGTTGCCCGAGGCCTACATCTAAGATTTCAGGCCACTGCACAGTTATCAAGAATCTATGGCATTTCTTCAGAAATATGATTCCAGTTGTACTTGTCACTGAACAGGGTAATTAAATACCATATAAACTCACAACACTAAGTTTCTATGAAAACCAAGCTGAGTAGTTTGAAAAATCTAATAAAGCACAGCCACAGAAAAGCATTCCCTATCAATGAGTGGTGACCAAACCACTGTGTAAAACTGAAAGCAAATTAAAACTTTAGAAGCATATTGCTTGATGTGCATTTAACAGTTCCACCCCACTTCAAAAATAAAAGAAAAACCAGGTGGCAACAGTACATTATACTTTGTGAAGGTGACTGCACAAGACACAGGTGAAATTAGTTAACCAGTACTCAAAGCCTGCAGCTCTGGGACTAACTGGACACTTGGACACTGGGAAGTCAGTGTATTAATGTTTTGAGTCAAGTTCAAGTATTTAAGACTACATATTACTTTTTTATCAGGTCCAATTTTAAGTGACACCTGATTACTAGACAAATTTTCCAAGAGTAATTTAATATACTTCTAATAGCCACTGTTCAGAGTTCTGATAAATAAGCCTCCACAAATTCTCCAGCAGTATCCATTGCTGTTGCAAAGGTACTATGAACAACCCTTCTTGCTAACAGTGGGTCCTCATCAAGTACAACCTAGGCCCCATACACCACTGAACCTTCACATAGTTCCCATTGTCACCTGAATAAAACAAACAAAACTGAAATAGAGATGTTAAGTAACTTGTCCTCAGTCACACAGTGGGATACAGCCATCCTCTAGCTATGGCCCATCTAATCATCCTCTCTTCATCACTTACCTGCCAATATGTCATTAATATCATATATATGATTAAATGAGACAAGCAACTGCAAAACAGTAGTATGCAGAATTAGCCCACTGATTTGCATATGTAAATAGGCATAAAATACAGGAAGTTATAAATCAAAGTCTTCTTTAGGGTCATCTCTGAATAGTGTAGTTACAGCTAATTTTAGTTTTCATCTTTGTGCTTCTCCTGGCTTTTACAACATCTGCAATGAAAAGGCATTACTTTTATAATTGAAAGAAAAAGCCATGTGATAAGCTCTGGTCCTTTATTTCTTACCACATGTGGAGGGGTGATTTAATTTTTAAATAGATCCTGTCAATTAAACAGCACCAGTTTATTTTTATTTTCAGTAACTATTAAAACTGGAGGTAGCATTCACTGCTATTCTAAAAATTTCTCTTCTTGGATGTACAAGTCAATATCAGATCTTCCTTTGCTATAGTTAATGAAGAAGTCATTATAAAAACATAAAACAAAATGAAAAGCCCAACAATCATTAGATACAAATATTCAACAGCTTTCTATAAGGATAAAAGTCTGCAATGTAAATACAGCTATCGTTTCATTACCTTTTCTGTAAACAAGTCTGCTGATAACAACAATAGTTATACTATCATGCCTCCTAAATGGATCTGGAGTGAAGTCAGTAGGATCTACCGCATTAGGAATGACGGACACTATTTCAGGATTCAGTGCTGCTCTTAGTACAGTATTTTCCTTACTAGTATAAGAGACACAAATGATGTGGTTTGTGTCACAAAGCGACACAGTTAGAAGCTTGTTTGTGAGCACCGAGCTGACATCAGCAAATCCAAAGAGGGAATGGTCCGTGAAGACTGTATGGAGCCCCATTGTCTTGGCGTGGAAGAGAGCATCATGGGCCATGGAAGAAAAAGAACTATGGGAATGGACTATTGTGACTCTCTCCCGAACAAATATGTACCTGAGCAATGGCAGACTGTGAAAGAGGGTCGTGGCTGTAGATTGGTTGTACATGACTTTCAGAGGCAAGTAATAGACTTTGAGGCCATTAGTGAGGTAACGGATGCCTTTTCGATCTCCGTAAGCATGGGTGACAATTATGACCTTGTGCCCTCTTTGAATCAGGCACTGAGAGAGCTGGTATATGTGGCTTTCCACTCCTCCCATATTTGGGTAGAAAAAGTCAGATACCATGCATATATTATGAGAATGGGTTGTACAGGTAGAAAAGCTTCCAGGGTTAACCGAGGAGAGTGGAGTTGAGGGAGGCTTCGCATGCCCCCCTCCTCCTCTATAGGCCATGCTGAGATGGTTCAGACATCAGTTCTCAGAGCAACCCAGCTAAGATATATGTCCTCTGTTACCTGAAAAAGAGAGAAAAACGGGATCTCAGCTCAGAGACACAAGATATTCCAAGCCCCATTAGCATCACTTTTAATGTTAATGTACATTTATGAGCTTTTCTCCTAGAAATAAAAAAGTACATAATGAAAATACTCATTTGCACTTACTTACTTAGCATTTACTGTACATGCAACTAAACTAGACTCTTTCGTGTCTTAATTTTGCTGCAAAACATTGCTATGCATAATTTTGTCTGTTATAGCATACTGTATAATAGTGTGCCATGCTAAAGAGTTTGTTATCAAATGTTAAGTACACAGACACACATATGCTTATTTCCCCTCTATTGGTATCACTTTACCAGCTTCTACTTACTAAATGGCTATGACACATCAGGCACTATATGCTAAATTCTCTACATTCTACTGTAACCTCACCAAAACCCTACTAAGTATTACGTGTATGTGATAAATGGAAAGTAAAGCTTAAGGAGGTTAAGAAATTTGTCCTTCACCACTCAACTTTTCATAGGCAGCACAACTGTTTCACTGTTGATCATGACTCCTCTTGGACCTGGTTTCACACATAGGATGCAGTGAAAAGTGATGTGCAAATGTTTGTCCTACGCCTCACAAGGGCCTGTGGCTCCCACTTAAGTACTCTTGGCTACTCAAAGTAATCACTTAAGTCCAGCTACTATATGTACTGTGCTGGAAAGATGTCAGGGAGACAATGTGAAAAGGGAAAAGCACAGACTCCATGGGGAAAGCCAGAGCTCCAGCCAGTGCCCTGTTTTCAGGGTCTAGTTTCTTGTCAAATTGCTGCTCCCTAAAAACATCCTCCCTGGTGACCGCTGGCAAGAACAGCAGGAGCACCACTAGCTAATCCCAGGAGATTGCAACATTGTGAAAAATAGTAAAATGATTGCTGTTTCACACTACTAAGTCTTGGGAAAGTTTTACAGGAAAGTATAAAGTAAAGCAGACCAGGATTTGAATCTAATTACACTGGTCTACTCCTTAAGTCTGTAAATAAAGTTTTACAGCAACACGGGCCTGTCCATTCATTTATGCTCATGGCTACTTTTGGGCTGTAACGGCAGAGTGACTGTGACAGTGGCTGCAACAGGGACCATATGACCAACAGAGCCTAAAATATTTACCATCTGGTCCTTCATTGAAAGTTTGCTGATCTCTGCTCTGCAGCTTAGCCACTGATGCAATTAATCTCATAGTTCGTCTGGTATTAGCTTTGTGTTTACACTACAATATACCTAGAGCTAGAATCGCCTTTTTTGAGGTCATCTTTTGCTAAGGACAACTGGAGCTCATGCAATAGGCAATGCAGATATTTTGCTCCTCTTATTCAAATACGATAATAATCAAGCTGCTGCCACCACTTGTTTTTTTTAAACATTCTATTCCATATTGTTTTCTCTATGAATGTCCTGCCTTTCAGTGTGCAATCTGAAAATAAAGACTTAACTAGAGATGGGTTAAATCTAGGACCACTTCTTACATCCTAAAGTGGGTAATATTTATCCCCGGGGTCCTCCAAAGTCATATCAATGTGAAACATTCATACAGGATACACTACTGCTATAGATTCTTAAAACTTTCAAAGCTACAGAGTCTTGGAGATAAGGGTAAAAATCTTCTTAGCTTTACAAGATTTCCAGAGCTCCAGAACCAACTATACAAGCAGAAGTCATGCTAAAGCTCCAAGGTTTGAATTTCAACTGCAAAATCATAAAATACAAATTAACATGGGCAGCCTTAACTACCAATTCTCTCCAACAAACTCATCCATATCTTAAGTATATTCCCAGAAATACTTCATAAATGTTTGTGGAACTTAATTCAATAATTAACGTTCAATATTCCAAATACTGAGATTCCTCAAGCTTGCACTTTTCAAGTGGTTTAACTAACAAGCGTCTATGTTTTGTCACTTAAACCTGAAGTTCCAGTTCTATTCAGTTTCAAAAGATGAATGATAACAAAAAGTGAGCAATGAGTCAAATGAAATTACTTAATTTTGTGTCACTAACCTGCAACACTGAGGAGTCTGCCCACCCTCTGGTTATCACTTTCAACATCTGTGTCATTCAAAAGCTTACACAGCATACTCATAGAATCTCGGATTTTAACCAAATCTCTCTTTAAAAATGAGAAGCCAGGCAACTTTGAACGATTCATCCAAAGCTCATCACCCAGCCACTTCAGTGGCAAACTGGTGAAGATTTTAACATTTTCGCATGTAGCCAAGGAACCACAGCAAGCCAATAGCAGCAAAGGCTCCTACGGAGCCCTCGGCAGAGCAGGCGGAGGCTGCAGATGAGGAGGACCGCACTTCTAGAGAAACCTTGGTCACTCCTTGGGTTGCACTCCTTTAGAGGTAGCCAAGGAGCAGCAGAGCCAAGATGTCCCACTCAGTGAGCGACCCGACAGAATCGGGCAGGGTCTGACCACGCCCAAAGGAAGGAGGAAAACAACAGGAAAGTGGGCAAGGGTCTGAGACTGGAAGTTCCTGAGATGCCAGAAGGTAGCCCACCAATCTCGGCCAAGGAACCCGCTCCAGATCTCCAGTGCCCTCGGCCCCACTCCACTCTGCAGACCGTCCGACCCGGCTTCCGGGCCTGAAGCGCAGTAGGCTTCAACCCTGCTACAGCCTGCCAGGGTCCCAAGCCAGCAGCGCAGCCCCGTCCGGAGGCGGGCAAGACTGCTAGAGAGGAGAGGCCGGACGCGCACTTACCGGCGAGTCCCATGGCCGCCCGTGTCCGGACCTCCCGCGGCTATAACCAGAGTCCCGCCTCGCTACCCTGAATCACCAATCCGGGGCGTCCGCGCCCGAGCGCCGCGCCCCCGAGGCAGACAATCAAAAAGTGGCGCTTAGATCACGTGCAAGAGCGACGCTCAACCGTCCCAACCCCTTAGCGTGGGTTGCAGCGTCAGCGTGCATTTGCGCATGCCTAATGGGTGCTGCGGAAGATTGGGCGCAGTTGCCCTCTGGTTGCCTAGTTACAGCGTCGCTTTTCAGGAAGCCGGTTATCACCATGCTTGCTTCTGATTGGTGAGACTTGGGTGAGAAGACTACTAAAATCCAGGGTCATGGTGGCATTCTATTTAGAATTATCTGCCACAGCAGAACTGTGCTAGTTCTTGTCACCCTGCTAGGGTTGCTAATGCAGCATATAGAAATACACAAATTTTAGAAATCAAAGCAATGCAAAATGTAAAAATATGATCTTTGAATTTCATATAAGTATATCCTAAATATTGGAGATGTCACTAAAAAATTATTAGGAGTTTATTTGAAATTAAATTCAATGGCACATCTGTATTTTATCTGACAGCCCTGCACTCCGGGGCGGGGATCTGAAATATCTAGTCCCTCTCAAACTGGTTGGACTAGCTGCGGTGATGGATGGTTGGCTAGAAGGCTGAAGAATCAGAAGTAGGTTGATGATCCGTCACCTTTACAGCTGGCACTTGCAGTTACCCAACCCGCACTTTTGAGAGCCAATTCGTTCCTGAGAACCACCACCACTGTGACTAGCACGCATTTAGCACCTTGAATAAAACTATTACATCCTGAGAATTTAAGTTTTATTTTCCTGATGTTCTCTCCAAACCTCCAGAGATAATGAAATGCTTCCACTTTTGTATCTTTATAATATTTTGTCAATGAACAAAATTTACGTTTCCGCTTCTGTCCTGGGCACTGAGCATTAAAAAGTAAATAAATCATGATTCTGCCTAAGACTCGCAGTCTCATATGGCACACCACTGTATTTATACATGGCCATGGTCAGTTAAATCTTAAGTAACAATATCCACTTAAAGTTACTTTTTGAAAGTCAAAAGAAAGTTTTAGTAGCAGAACTGAGACAAGTCTAGTAACTCTACCTCAAGGTATGACCTGGCAATATGCCTTTAGGGAATTTTCTTAGAATCCACTAAAATTAGATGAAAATACTTAACACATGGTATTCTGATTACACATAATAAATGTCAATTTTTATCTCCCTTTTCATTTATATATGCAAATAAAAATGCATATGCAAATAATTTTGGATTGGAAAGGCAAAAAATATGTACTGACAGCCTCCCACCAATACAGAAGACACAATGCAGAGAAAATGTGGCATGAGCATTTCCCCAGTGGAACCAAGATGGAATCAAGGCACATGTAAATTATCCAGAATCAAAGGTAGGAAGTATAAGAGAAATACCAGAAAAACAATGGGGTACAGAGGCAAAGAGTCTTTCTATCTGGAGCATTTAGCTAGAGAAATAAGCAGAGAGTGTCTGTGCAACTCTTTAGAGCAAGATCATTTCATTAACGACGTGAACAAGGTACAGAGACAGGCCCTGGCTGTCCTATGAACATTACTGTGTAGATACACATGGGAAGAAATGGGGAAAATGTACACACAAGAAAAGGGTGGCATTTTTAGTGAAGGTTAGAGAGAAATAGTAGAGGATCCCACTGAAGGCAAACTTGATCTTGAGCCAGACATCCAGCCAGTATGATATTCTCAGTTAATATTTCAGAACTCTTCATTTCTCCTTCTGCTTCAAGTAGAAAAATGAGAATAAAATGAATATAAATGAGAAAAGCATATGTTTTATTTGGAATTTAGAAAAGACAAGTATGTCTATGTATCCCAAACAGAACCATAATGTGAAATGATGATCATGATGAAAGCCATATAGGCCTGGACACAGTGTGTGGCAACAGGAAAACCTGAACTAGGGTTCAGTAATAGAAATCATCAGGACTCCATGTGTGGCAAAAGACAGGAGCCAATCTCATGAGAAAATGTTACACTGGTGACCTTCAATAAAGCACTTGCCAATATTCACACCCTTGTCTAAATCCCTGTTACACTGACTCTAGGTTTTGGCCATGTGACTTGCATGTCCAATGGGACATCTGCAAGGACATGCCACAGAGATTTAGTGTGTTTATGGACTGAGTCATATCCTGCTGGCTCATTACCACTGAAAGCCCGTAATCATGCTATAAGTCTCAGGCAAGATGCTGAATGACGAAAAGTCACAAGGAGAGAGGCAAAAGAATGACAGGTCTTCTTGTGTGTTCAAGTGGCAGGTGAGTTCCCAGCTTAATTTGACCACTAAAATGACTTTAGCCTATACTATGTGAAGCATAAGAACCCTTTAACTGATCCTAACAGGTCACGAGTCATCTCAAGGCACTAAGTCATATGGTGGTTTGTTACACAGCAGCAGGTAACTAGGCCTCATTGCCTAACCATTTCCCCCACTTGCGAATGAAGAATGAAAGTTTGTGGCAGCAATCACTGCCTTTCTGCTTTCTGGAGCTGTAACTTTGTGACTAACCAAAGCCACACAATGTGATATGCCACTATCACTACTGGGGGAGAGAGAGAGAGAGAGAGAGAGAGAGAGAGAGAGAGAGAGAGAGAGAGAGAGAGAGAGAGAGAGAGAGATCTAATTCAAGATTAGCTTGTAAACCAAAATTCAAAAACACTGGAAGAGATATACTAAGACAACATACAAATCTAATAATGAAAGTTGAATTCACTCTTGAAGCAATAAAAATAATATGAAAGAGGGCCAGCAAGATAGCTCAGCAGACAAAGCGCCTGCTTAGGCAAGCGCAGGGACCAGGGTTCGATCCTTGGTCCCACATGCCGTGCCGGCCAGGATCAAATCTGGGCGTGGTGGTGCACATCTGTAATCCCAGCACTGGAGAGGCTGAAAACAGGAAGGTCACTGTGAGTCCAAGGTGCATAGTGAGATGCTGTGCCAAATACATAAAATGAAAATAATAATAATAATAATAATAATAATGGCAATAATATGAAAAAATTTAAATGGAAAATTGAAGCAAAAGCATGCAAAAATGAAACAAACATCATTATATAGAATTAATTAGAAATCTAATTTTTGTCTTTTTGAGACAGAGAATCACTATACAGTTCAGGCTGGCCTTGAGCTCACTTTATAGACCAGGAAGGCCTCAGAATCCTAACAGTCCTCCTGACTCAGCCTCCCGAATGCTGGGATTCCAGGTATGTACCAGCACACCCAGATTTCAATTAAAAATCTTGAACATAAGGTTAGCAATATTTTAGAAACTCGTTGCAGTGCAAAGAAGTTTAGGTCAGTTAAAACAAAAATTAGTAGAATGTAAAATAATATTGAGGAAATTACTTTTCTTCAGTGCAAGACATAAAGATGAAATGTCAAACCACAGTAGAAGTCTTTTCTATGGGAAATTACTCTAATCTCTGGAGGAAAAGAACATGAAAGAGTGGCACAGCTGGAGAAGAGACCAACTGGGCCATCTCCGTAGTTCTAAGGCCCTTTGAAATTCAAAGCCTAGTCTGCAGATCAGCAGTAGCAGGGGCAGCATGTGGGAACTTAAATGCACAGATTCACAGGCCCTACTCCAGATCTACTGAAGAAGAATCTACACTTTAACAAGTTACTGAGTGATTAAAATGCACATTAATATTTTAGAAGTATAGTTGTATCTTAGTGATGTTCCTCAAAGGCCTTAAAGCATATTGCCTATGTCACTCCCTTTGTGAAGTGTCTCAGACAATAGTTTAATTTTCATCCAACTCTGATGAAAATTATGATGCCTTATCCATTTCCCATCACACTGTTCTGGTTCTAGATTTATTATCCATCCTATCATATCAATACATTCTCTGCTTTGTGGCTTAAATAATCAAGACATCGGACATTGATGGAATTTACTGTTTGCTTTAAGCTCGTAGGGCTATGCATATATTTTTGCTTTTCAATGCTTTTCAACAGTTTACAGCTTACTTCCCAGGGATAAGAGCATGAAAAATATTGGGGTTTTTTAATGTGTTTATTATAGGGTCTACAGGATCTCACTACACAGATTGGATTCATAGTCATTCTCCTGTTTTCAGTCTCCCAAGCCCTGGGATTATAGGTGCATGCCACCAGGCCCAGTCTCAATTGCAGTCTCATTGAGCCCCAGAGGCAGGACCAGCACAACATGCCTGAGATCGAATCCTGGTCCTCGCATCTGTCTAAGCAGGCATTTTAATCTGCTGAGCTATCTGGCTGGCCTAGAAAAATATTCTTGAGCAATGACTAGGGAATTCTAGTAAAGCAATAGCCAGTTACTCCACCTTTACATTCAGTGATGAATTCCATTGTGACCCATCCCTAAGGATGCAAATACAGATGTCCTGGTGATTATTGGTACTTGAAGTAGTAGAGGGAGGGAGTTAGAAAAATGGAACCAGACAGTGAGCAAATTCGGTCATCCCAGGACTTCCCATGCTATTTTTGTCTAAATGACAATCAGGAAGCCAGAACCATTTCAAGGCAAAACATGGTTTTAGCACTGATACAAGGATTTAACATGTCAAGAACTTGTCAGAGGTTCCACATTCCTGGGGTTTGTCAGCTATCCTGCTTCTTTTCTTTGAAATAATGCCTTTGACTTTTTTTTTCTTTTTTTAGAGAAGGGTCTACAAGATGTTCAGGGTCTCACCACTAGATCGGACTCATAGTGATCCGTCTGTTTACAGCCTCCCAAGAGCTGGGATTATAGGTGTGCACCACCACGCCCAATCTCACTTGTGGTCTCAGCGTGCCCCCGGGGTGGGGCGAGCACCACAAGCGCAGGGATTGAACACCCAGCCCCTGCAC